TATATCAGTACTAGTACGTACAATTGTACGGATTCGATAGGCCAAGTCGCCATGACGATGGATGCGCGCGAAATCGTCCACGGCTCGCGTGCGTTCGAGGCGGCGATTCTTCTGCGAGAGGAAGTCCTGCGCAAGCCACTGGGCATGGTACTTGACCGCAATGCCGTGGCCACAGAGGCTACTGACATTCACATCGGGGTGTACTCGGACGACGAGTTGGTAGCGTACGCATTGCTACGACCAGCGCATCCCATCGCTTGGATGAAGCAGGTGGCGGTCTCTCCTGCCGTCCAAGGAAAAGGTCTAGGTCGATCCTTGATCGAAGCATTTGAAGCACGAGCAATCAAGGAAGGCTTCCATTCCATCCACTTGCACGCGCGAGAAACAGCCGTCGGGTTCTACCTCAAGCTCGGGTACGCCCCAGTGGACAACGACACGTTCATGCAAGTCGGGATTCCACATCGGCACATGTTCAAGACGATTATTTGCGACCTTACACGTATTTAGCGTTGAACACACTGGTACTGGTGTCTGCGAAGGGCGTTTGCTTCGCCACAGCAAGATATCACCCTCGGCAGTGCCGTGTCCGATCACCAACCCCATCCTATTCGTTGATATTCGAGGTTCCCCTTCGTTATTTTACCCAAACTGGAGCCGCTCTGGCCTCTCAGATACACACCGGTAGTTCCCGGCAACTCGAACTCCGCTCGATTGGCGCCATCGCAGCTATCCTCGTCCGGGTGCGATCGAAGGCCCATGGCCCAAGAGTCTCGAACGAATTCGTTCTCGGTAGTCGACCTCGATCGTAAGTCATAGGGCACCATTCCCAGTGTTATATGAATGTGGCTGGATCGTCGTCGACTTCCAAGATTGGTGCTGCTTTACCCACCCGGTTCGATCGTGGTGGAATCACAGAGACAACCCCACCACGACGAACGCAGCCAACTGTCATCCACATGCACGCAAGCTCACTTGCACAAACCTATTCCGACGACAGCGCATCAGCCCGAGACGCGATTGCGCAACGATCGAGTGAGTCGAAGACTATGCAGTCGGTTCTTGGCGATCCCTTGGCTCCAGCAACGGCGAGAACGAGTCTTGAAATTCAACACCGCAGCTCTCATGAAAACCTGCAATCGAGCCAAGTCAGAGCGGTGCATTCATGGCACCGTCGCGACGGAACTCGACGAATCTTCCATTGGGGGAATGTTCCAGCGGCTGTATCGGCTCATTCCATCCTCCAGCGCCTGAATGACGCAAGAGGAGAAGGGATGGACAGTTCGAAGGCGCGGGGAGGCCGCGAAGGGTCGGGATTCTAAAAAGCACACGCCACGAAGTATACTATCGGCATACGTCGGGAGTCCTACGTCCTACATCATTCGGGTCTTGCAATTTACTTGAACTGGCCCGTGGTCGAGTCATGCAACAAGTTCAACAGGAGCGACTCCGAGTTGAGGTACACGCGATTCTGCGATCGGCTCATGACTTGGGCAATCTCCTTGGCGGCGTCCAACCGGCGCAGCTGTGTGAAAGCAGGGTTCTTCTTGATAGCTTCACCAACCAATTCTGCGGCCTTCGCTTGACCCTGGGCCCGAATGATCGTCGATTTCTTTTCTTGGATTGCCTTGTCCACGATGAAACGAGCACGTTCGGCATCTTGTTGCGCCACTTGCTTGGCTTCCACGGCGGCCGTGTACTCGCGACCAAAGCTCAAGTGGGTCACAGACACGTCTTCGACGTCGATCTTGAACTCCAACGCACGTTCCTTCAAGTTGCGCGCAATCATGCGCGACACATGCTCACGCTGTGTGATCAATTGGCTCGCATTGAACTGCGCCATGACTTGCTTCGCAGTTTCGTTCACGATCGAGGGAAGCACGGTTTCCGAGTAGTTGACCCCGAGGCGACGGTAGATCCACGGCAGTTGGTCCTTGTCGGGACGAGTCAACACACGGAGGTTCACGTTCACCATTTGCAGATCGCGCGACCCCGTGAGCGAGCTTACTTGATGCGCCTTCGTGCGCACGTCAAAGATGACAGGGCGTTCGAACCATGGAAGCATCACATGCAACCCTTCGCCAATCACCTGGTCCTTGATCCCCGTGAACCGGTTGTACACAATCGCGCGCTCACCGGGCTTGACATCGTACATAGACGAGTACAGACCGTAGCCCAACGCACCGGTCACGACGACACCGTTAATCAACGCAAAGATCGGCGACCCGCGCTTCGGGATGTTCTGGGCCAGCTTCTCGGCCGCTTGCTTGCCTTGCTCCATGTCGATGCCGCCACAAAGTTGTCAACTACTCTTCCAGACCCTTCTCGCTTTGAGTGGTGCGGATGTTGGTAAGCTCGTGTTTAAAACAGCGGCTGCGAACGACGCATTCACTTGCCTTTTCTATGCGTTTTCAACAACGGACCGTTTGGTGTGCTTTATTGTTTCAAACACGTCTGCGAATCGCGACCTGTCGTTGCGCATGCACGATTTGATTGGACAAAATGATGGATTTGGGAGAGATCCGGATAAGGTCAATCGATTTATCCGGACATCCACGGACGCTGGTCAAGGACGGAACGATGGCAGATGACTTCCCGGAGGAGAACCTGAATGAGGACGTCGCACTGTTGCGCGATGCGTGGGTGAATGAGCTCGTTAGTAATACCGTGTGCATGGTTTCGCCAGTTTGATGGACTGACGGATCGCTTTGCCGTAGAACGCACCTGAGCTGCTGTCGTTCCAGACCGACTTGATCTCTGACATGGTCGAGCAAGTTCAAAACCAGGTTGGTCGATGCCCTGGTCAAGGAGACACGGAACGAAGGGAGATGAAGAGTGCACGCTATGTAGCAAAGTTATGTGGATGATATGTCGGCTGACGTTGCGACGTTGACGGAAGAACGGTCGTTCACGAACAAGCTGTACCAGGTACGACTAGCACAACAGGGAAAATCTCCATGTTCCGCTTGCAACGCAGATGGAGATCGATCGCATCAAATATATGCTGGCGTCATATCTGCGCATTCGACTGAGGAAGATCGAGCAGCACACGATGCACGTCTTGAACGAATCGCTGGACAAAATGTCCCGAGGCGAAATCGACTACGCTCACTCGTACGTCGACATGCCTCTCGTCTGCAACGTCGCGCCACCCCTTTGGTAGGTTCAAGGACTTGTATGAAAGTCACTGTCGCGATCTACTCTTGTCAAGACTCCCCAACGAACATCAACAGCTCGACGAGCCGCACATGAGTACTTGTTTCGGTCCCGCCCCAACCAACGTGGCCCACTCATGCTGTGTCGTCGCGTAGTCGACCACCCCAACCTGGACGCGTTTGTATTTTGCCAAACTGTCGAGGACATTGGAAACGTTCAAATCGACGATCGGTACGGCTAGGTCGAATGCCAATCCATTTGGATTGATGGATCGACGGCAGGGGCTCCGAGCATGTGAATGCTCGCAAGAACGACCGCCATGTCCTTCGGTATCGCGTCGTGAGGTCGCTTGTGGAAGAAGGCAAGGTGACGTTGCTGTAGCAATTGCTCCCACAGCGAAACTCGACGTAATTCGAGCGACACGTTCGCAATGACGAAAATGAGAAAATAATAAGCGGGATGTGGGATCTAAAAGTGTTGCAGCGCAGCATGCACGGAAGCATACCCGAGCACGAGGACGCACGGCTAGACATGGGAGATGTGAGCGAAGACGATGGGCACGACGAAGAGGCGAGATGGGGTAGCAACACGTACAATGAGAAGGATCTCTTCGATCCCGACCATGAACAACTGAAAGATGAGGTACTTGTTCTCAAGGCCAACAGCGACCCAGCGGTTTACGTTCTTTCCGTATCCTGTCGGGTCGTACTCCCGGACGCTGTCCGTGCCATTCGGCGCCGCCCTCGTGGCTGAAGGAGCAGGAGGAGCGTCGCCCCAATGCGACCACACGTCTTGAACGTACCCAATGTTCTTGACAAATTCGATGATGCACAGGAACAAGTATACCATGAGCACGTCAGGTTTGTCTCCACGAACGGCAACAAGTCCGACGAGCCCGATCGCAATGCCGAAGATGTGCGTGTACCACACGCTGTCCATGGACACCAGAATTCCAATGAAAGCTTGCAGAATCGCCAAGAGTTGAATCTTTCGCGCGCGCGAGTCCAAAGTTGACCACACGTGTTTCTGCCGCTCCAAAATGGCAAATTTGCCAGCTTCGATGTCGTACGGAGGGATCTGGATCGGAATGGCGCTTTCCGTGGATGATCTTGACTGGTTTTGCGACGCATACCGCGACGGTGGCGCTGTTCTGTCCCGTATCGGCTCATACTCGTTGCGCTTCTTGTTGCCAGCCATGCTTGTCGACGATGTTCCTCTTTCGTCAAGTGTATAATCTGCGCCATGCCCGATTTATTTGTCGCTTGGACTATTTATTTCATTTTGTTAAAACGAAATATAAAAAGCAGTATAAGTGTCTCCATTTTTTTGTCGTACGTTATGCATAGACACAAAGAGAGGACTGCATCGTACCCCGGGGCACACAAATTCTCCCCGCGTCGGTTTCACATTCGAAAGCGCGCCAGAGTGCAATCATGCAACAACGAACGACGATGCCGCAGACGGACATCGCGAAAGCAAGAGGTGCTGTGTAGGATGATGGGTGGGTGGGGAGTGGGGTCAACAGCGAAGTGCACTAGTCAAACAAGGTCGTAACCAAGTTAGCGGCGCTTAGACCGAACCGTCGAAGCACGGAGGATGTGATCCAGAGGAGTATTGCCACCACAAGGATGGACAGGGCGACACTCGAGAAGGAAGCGTCTGCATCTTTCGAAACGAGCCACCCCAACATGACAGCGGCGGCGAGTGCACACCCTGTGTAAAAACCGGCCACAACATCCGTCTAGACGAGGGCATGATGAATACTTGGCGACGTGTATTTCAACTTAAGCGGTCTCAATCCATCAAGGAATCGGGCATTACCGGGTACGGCAGTGGAATGATGGACTTTTTGTCTTTGTCCCTCGGCAAAGCTTTCCGCATATCTGACGAGTACAAAGCATCCATGAGTAGTCACGTACGTCACGCGGGATGGCTTACCAAATGCATCTTCGCCGTCGTCATCGCCTGAATAATACCCAAGAACCCGGCGATAGACGGAATACCCAAACTTTTCGTACATGCCAATGGCCAATGTATTGGACACGCGCACAAAGAGATCAACAAAATAACCATCGTACCTACATGCAAGTATCATGCAACCAGACAGACAAGGCAGCTCACGTACAGCTCAACCGAGACATTCTCGAGGTAGTCCATGAGGTTCTTGGCAAGGCCGAGTCGGCGAAACTCTGGCGCGACTGTCACCGCCGTCACATGGCCGTGCCAATTCTCCCCCTTGCCTTCCGCTTTGCCCATGACTGCGGCGATAAGATGCGGCTCAACAACGAGCAGGGAGGAACCAAATGGTCGATTCGATGCATACCGTATCCCATCATGGTGCCGTTCGGATCTTCTTGCAGGAGGAAGTAATCGGGCCACTTGGTCAAGTATTGCAGGTAGAACGACATGTTATACTACACAGATTCATTCAGGGACACACAGAGAGACGTCTGTGGCGCGGGCCATGAATCACCCACCGTCTCGGTCAGCACATCCAGGTTGACATTGTTGAACCGGAACAAGTCGTCGCAGCGGAACTTGCGCGTCGACGTCATGTGGGTTTCCTGCGCCAAACAAAAATCGCATCTCCGGATGTTGCTTGGATATAGTGTGCTTCACACTATTTTCTTCCATTCCAGATAAGGACCAAATTACTGCTACACCATGCAAGTGGTTATCGGGAGATGGTTGCAATGCTCGGCGTCAGGAGAGAATCGACATCGCACCCTAAGACCTCAGCATGTACTCATCGGTGGTGGTGCTGCCTTCGCTGAACGTGATTTGGTGGTATGGTGGACTCGTTGGAGCAAGTGTGGCCCGTCGTAATGTGCCATCGCTGATCCATTGTACGACGAATATCCGACCGAAATACATTTTGGTTATGAATCTGCCCCATGTGATCGATCACTACACGCGAATGGCGACATGCGACTCGAGGATCCACAAGGCCATGGACTGCAGGATGGCCTTGTCGAACCGAGCGGCAAGGCGGGGGTGGTAGACCCGCATTTCTTTTAGAGCGATCTGGTCCAAATAGAAAATGAGCGACTGCGTCTTTGTCTGTGCCGTAAACGAGTGGCGACGGTTGAGCACCATGTCGACGTCTCCGAGCCATGCGCCGCTGGAGACGCGGACGATGCGGGTGCGTTCTTCTAGCCCGAGGGTCGCACCACCATGCGCGCCAACATACACTTCAACCGACCCTTTACCGACCAGGTACAAGCCATGGACCTCGGATCCGCTTTCATAGATGATCGCTCCTGCTGGTTTCATGCAGCTCACGACGTACTTGGCCATGACGTCGTCGGTTAATGCTCCATCGTCACCGTCGTCGTGCTCTATTGCCTCCTGCGGCAAGAAGCCATCAAGCAACGCAGCCGTGCGACGCTGAGCCAAGCACGCTTGCATTTGATCGTGAATTGGCGTCGCACCACTCATCCTGAGCAAATCGTCTTCGCACGCTTCGAGCGCGCCTTCCAACGTCGCGTAGACGAGGCAGCCTTCCAGCACTTGGTGACGGTCGAGCAAGCCCTGGACGTTAGTTGGGAGCGTCGCAAAGACGAGGGTGATGTTGTGCTCATCGAGCATTTGCTTGGTCGCGTTGAAGCAGCTGCGGACGGCCGTCACGTCGATGCCGCGGACGCGTTTAAAGTCCAAGACCAAGAATCGAGTTCGCAGACGTCCCAAGTCTAGGGCGTTGCTGCTGTTGAGGAGGGGCATGGCACTGGCCGTGGTTGTCTGCGATCCGACCGAGTCGGGCAGCACGATGTGGGCGCGAACTTGGTTCAGGATGTGTACGGAACTCCCAAAAAAGATGTACCCGTCGAGCTCGAGCACTACAATTCTCTTGCGATGCTGCATGAGAAGCGTGCGTTCGCGGAAGTCGCGCTTGACGAGGCTTTGGCGCGATATCGGTCGAACGCTCGTCGTGCCCACGTACGACACGATAAAATTGCACCCGGCACCGGCAATCCCGAGCACGATGCCCGCTTCTAAGTTCCACGCGTTCATGATGATAAACGTACACCACAAGATGGCGTACTCGCCAAGAAACATGCTGTGGCGCGCATGGACCATCCATTCCATGATCAAGTCGATCGCAATGAGGGTCTGCAACGACCCGAAAAACAGCTTCGGGACGTACGCGATGATCGAGACGGGGCTGGCCACGAGCGCGACTTCGAGCGCAAAGATGAGGAGGCCCGTGAGGCGGCTATCCACACCCGACTTCATCGAAAAGATCGTGGACGAAAAGATGTACGACCCGGTGAACCCACCCGAAAGGCCCGACACCAAGTTGGACCAGCCCACGGTCTGTAGCTCGGCGTTGTGGTCGAGCGGTTTGTGGAGGGCCATTTCAATCGCTGCCACATCCAGCGACGACGAAAACGCCACGACAAAGTACATGGCGATCCATGTCGGCAGTTGATCCAGGAAGACCTCGGGGTGGACATGCGACGGCTTGAAGTGCTTGTAGATGTCGAGTACGCTCATGGTAGCGTTCGGCAGTGGCGCAATCCAACCGTACGCTCGAGCTTCTTCCAGCGACGTGCCCGAGACAAACAGGCACAAGTAAAAGAGCACGAGAAGCAACAGCATCGACGCCGGCAACGTTGTGTAGTGATTGACCCGATGCGTCGCCACAAAGAGAAATGCACCCCCAAGAATACCTGGTACGCACAACAGCAGCGGCTTCAACGACGTCGTGAGTCGGCCCCAATCCAGGATCGAGTTGATCACTTGGCCCGACATCATGGAGAGCCCCGCTTCGAAGCAGTAGAACCCGATGAAGGACAAGTACCCCCCCACGACTGGCATTGGAAGGTACTGCACGAAGCTGGCCCACTTGAGCTTGCCAGTCACGACCAGCGCAATGCCGAGGAGCGCGGTCGACCCACACAATGTAAACAGGGTCGTCGCCAGCACATCTTGCATCAACATGTCGCGCCGCGTCGTCGAGTCGGCAGCAACCTGAAGCGAGTTCACAATCGAGCTGGCAATCGCCGACAGAAAGATCAACCCGGCGTCCTGCACTTGCCCTACTGCAAACGGCAGCGTACTCGACACACTAAAGCAAAGCTGATGGATCGCTCCTGGAAGACACCGTGATGCGCCGTTCACTGTGGTAGTCGAGCCGATATGGAAAGGAGCTTGTACCTGACACCATTGTAAGCTTGACGAGCTCGGACAAGTAGGGCTGGAATACTGGATCGCGGAAAATGATTTGTGCAAAACTACGAAGGTTGGTTCGTCAAGAGTGATCTCGATACAAAGTGTATCAACCTAGGGCGGCTGGAGCATAGACTTACCTGATCATGAGCGGCACGAGAATGACAGCGTTGACGGCCCCGTAGACGGCGATCTTGGTGTACTTGCCGGCGGTAGTGGCAGGCAGCACCGCGGCTACATGCATCGCTTCGGCGTGATGGAGGACAGGGAGGGTCTCTTCATCATACGCGAGTCTGTGGCTCATGCGACTGGGAGTTCGTGCGGTCGCACCGACGCTATCCATGGTGCTGCTCTCGTGCGCCCTTGCCGCCAAGGCGTGTGGTCCGTCGTGGGTGTCGCGACGCCGCCACAAATGGTAATTTGACGCGCGCGGTGAAGGTGACCTTGAGTTGTTCCTGCGATTTCATTGGCGGATGGACGGTCTTGACAAGTGATATGGAGCGATTTGATTGGCTCTTCGTGGCAGGAACGCCATCCGCTTCAACGTTTGCACGGGCCTCCGACGCCGACGATTGGAGACGACCCAAGTGGCTCACGGCGAAGGCGGAGCGGGGCGATGGACGAGCCGGCGTTCGTGGGATGCCAATGCAGCGCATGCGTGGCTGCCGGTAGGGGCAGGACTGGTCAAGTGGACGAGGTGGGTTTGAAGGGTGGAGCACGTGATCCGAGACGTCGATGTTGGAGGCTGGATCGAGCGTACTACGTATTGTAGCTCTGGTCTGGATACGCTTTGCACCATGGCTTTCCACATGTCCCCCCCTTGCATGGAATCTATCGAGGCTTGGCATGGGTGGGTCCAGCTGCTCCTTCGACGCATCGACTCCATACAGCGCATTGATTCCTAAATTGCTGTGGTGGCATGGGCTGGGTCCCTTGACGTGAAAAGGACACGCATGAGCTAAAACACACATCGCGAGGTCGATCGCGTCGTGTTTGATATGACGACGCCACGTAGAGGGGCGTTTGTGGCGTGGCACACAGAACGCGGCGAAACGAATCTTCTGCTTGTCATGCTTGCTATTGGTACTGACGCTCGGACACCGCGGAAACATCCCGTTGCTATGCCAGCCATGGCGCGTGCCAGAGCCCTGCGACCATTCGCCGGTCAGCTCAACATGTCCACACAAACCATGGCAGCGTCCGCATCCGTTGGATTTCATTTTATCCAATCATGATAGCTCTTGCGGAATTTGCACCAATCATATTTCGCTGCGCAAGGCCCGACGGTTACATGTCCCAGCCGATTCTGGCACATCTCGCGCGAGTGCTGCATGCCGCGCGGCACGATATGGTCACGTCCGGCCGACGGTGTGTCTGTATGACGTACACGAGACCTGCAGTCCATTGTTGAACAGTTGTGAAGGAGGCGAGAAAAATCGAGTGTTCGGAAGAGACAACTGACAACGATATCTCGCTTCCCGATCCACTGAATCGTCAAGCACCGTTTGGACTGACCAGATGCGGGCAAGTCCATCGTGTTGACCAAGGCGCGCTCCCGCACTGGCGAACCTCCAAAGAGAACGGGTGTATCCAATCCCGCCATGTACGATTCGGTACATTGTACAATGTTTGCTGCTGCATTCGAATATAACTTGTGGCAACGTACGGTACATTGTACAGTAATGTACGACATCGCCGTTCATTTTGATGGTAGTTGCAGTGTCGTTGGCAGTTGCGAATTTGGCCGCCGCCGCGCCTTTCTCCTCCGACCCCACCGCCATGAACAGCGTCGGCGCCACTGCGCGAACGCCGAATGCAAAACACCGCTTGAGCTTGCGCTACGACGACGAACGTCTACCCCTTGTCGCTGACCCACCTCCCCGAAGCACGGATGGAGTGTCCATGAAATGCGTACCGTTGGCGCCGACATCTCTTCTCGCGACCGCGCAGGACTCGGAAGGAGGAAGCAAGTACCTCAAGATTGGTCTCTACGGCATGATCAACGCGATCATTCTCGTTCCTTTAATGATCAGGTGCATGATGATCTTGGAAATGCCGCCGATGCCATTTCTCATGGGCAGCACCTGGTAGTTTTGCGCAAATCATTTTTCGCGACCCCGTGTTTCAACCGTACTTGGCGGAGCTTGTAAAACTCACCATGGTGTCGGGGGCAGTGCATCAGATCTGCTTCAGCGTGTTGAGCACGCTGCCATTTGCCGTGGGCCAAGTCCAAGACGCAGGCTTGATCTTCCTTTCCGCCATGGCGAGCTCGATCGTGCATTCGTTGCACAAGGCGGACACTGTCTTTGTGATGGAGGAAGTGTTGGCAACGACTCTGTTCACGCTGTGCGGGTCAACAGCATTTTTGGGCATTGCGCTCGTCGTTACCGGCAAGCTGAAGTGGGCGAGCTTTGTTCAGTACTTGCCGATGCCAGTCGTGGGTGGGTACTTCGCCTTCATTGGATTTTTCTGTTTGCAAGCTGGTCTTGCCATGATGTCCGGGAAAGAAGTAAAGGAAATTGCCGACTGGGGGCAGTTGAGCGACCTCAAGTCGCTCTACTTGTGCTTTCCTGGTATCGTGGCGGGTGTGTTCATCTGGGTCGTGACCCAGCGCATCAAGCACTTTACGGTCCTACCGACGTGCATGTTTACCATCTTGGTGCTGTTCTACGGGTCGTTGATTCTCTCGGGTTCCTCTTTTGAAGATGCTCGCGCGTATGGGTGGATTGCGCCACTGCCGAACGCTACCATGAGCGTACTCGACATCTACAAGCACTTCAAGCCGTCGCATTTCCACCCCGAATTCCTACTGGATCAACTGCCGACATGGATCGCCATGTACTTTGTCGTGGCGTTTTCGTCGTCGCTGGATGTGGCAGCGATTGAAATGGCCCTCCACAAACCGCTCGACCACAACGCCGAGCTTCAGACCGTGGGCTGGTCCAACTTGGTGTCGGGCCTTACGGGCGGGTTCACGGGGTCCTACATCTTTTCGTCCACGATTTTTTCGATGAAGTCGGGCGTGGACAGCCGCCTCACGGGCTTGCTGGTGTTTCTACTTGAACTGACGCTGGTCGCAAGTCCGTTCTCGATCATCTCATACGTGCCGAAGCTCTTCTTCGCGTCGCTGCAAACGCTCATTTTCGTCGACCTTTTCATGGAATGGATTGTCCATGCGCGCAAGAGTATGTACTTGAGCGAATACGCGATTGTGTGGTTCACTTTTTTGGTCATGGTGCTGTGGAATTTGCAAGCCGGCATCGTTTTGGGTATCATCGGTGCCGCTTTCAACTTCATCTTTTCGTACGTTGAGTCCACTTCGATCCGTCGCGTGTGGAAACAGTCGCACGTGAAGCGCCAGTTCAAGGAACGCATATCGCTGCTCAAGTCACGCGGGTCCATCGTCACGTTGGAGCTAGACGGGTACATTTTCTTTGGCAGTTCGGTCAACATCATGTCGGAGGTCCGCAAGCACGTGCTCCTAACGACAGACGAATACATCCACCAAAAGAGTTCGAGATCCTTGAGCTCGAGCGTGATGTCGACGCCGAATTTCAATACCCGCAACTACAACCGACTGTCCGTGCGTGCGCCGTACAGCTTGGCGACGCCGGCGAACATGGGCCTTATGGCGATGGACGAAATGAACGACTACTTGAGCGAATATAGCTCGGACGCCCCGATCCCAGCCTGCCGCACGCTCTACCTTGTATTGGACTTCCAGCGGGTGCAAGGCATCGACGTAACGGCCGTGCGCAGTTGCTTCAACATCATGAAGCAAATGCTCGTGGAAAACGGAATCTCGCTTGTCTTTGCCAACTTGCCCAAGCACATTGAAGAAATGCTACGTCTCCATGACGTATTTGACGTTGACGACAAAGATGCCCCAACTAAGGCATTCGAAACGTTGGATTTAGCCTTGGAATGGTGCGAAGACGGGCTCTTGACCAAGGAATTACCCGTGGCAGACAACGCGTCGCGCCTGCTCAAGAGTGGCCGCACTTATCAGTTGTTGGATGTGTTGTTGCCCAAGAGCACGACTGTCGGCGAAAACGACAAGTTTGACGATTCAACCGGGCCGTTGTATGTGCAAACGCAATCGTTTGAAAAGGGCCAGCTCATTTACTCGTGCGGTGGCGACGTCGATGGGTTTTACGTGATCGGGAAAGGTCTCGTCGACGTGTACTTGCCGTCGAGTGAGCACAAAAAGATGGGGCCGGGGTTCACCGGTCGCAAGCGCATCATGCAAGTCACGAACGGCGGACTCTTGGGCGACGTTGACATGATCTTGAACAAGAAGCACACGTTCACGGCGGAAGCCAAGTCGAACTGCTTCATCTTTTTCATCACGAAAGAGGCCCTGAACAAGATGAAAGTCAACCACCCAAACTTGGCTGCCCGATTCGACAAAGCAATCATGCGGTCGATGGCTTTGCATATCTTGGAAGTGCGTGTCGCTGACGAGTGAGTAGATGATTTTGGAAAATGGAAGTTGCGGAGTTGGGGCTTTGTTTTCGATTACCGCATTCTGATTGAGCAAAGATGCAGTTCACGCACTCCTACGACCTTGACGTCGCGTGTTGGGCTGGATGTGTCAAGCGCGGAACAGGACTCCTCGAAAACAATCCATCATAATGGTCAGTCAGGCATTCACAAACGTTTGATACTTTGACATCGAGTATAGTCAGTCTTTTCAAAAGATTTGATGACAGCATGTCTTCGTCAGCTTCACAAGAGCGTTGTCATGATGTCCAGCACGCGGTGTTCCAACTCCAGCCGCGATTGAACTCCATAGAGTGGATTTCCCGCTTCAAAATGCGTAACATCAACCCCAGCAAATGTGGCGTTGAGAAGGATTCCAGACACCGACGTGACTATCAGAGGGGCAAAGTTGCGTGCCAGTTCTGTGGACGGATTTGCCCTTCGTTCAAACAAAACTGGATAAAGCAGGGCGAGCTGATCCAACATGAGCGCCATGCAATTTTGCACCCCTTCACCGTACGTTGCTTCGACCAGCGCTGACTTGGTCAATGACGAGTACCTGGTGGGTTCTCCGCACGTATCCATGTTGACTGATATGACAACATGCTTGGATTCTTGACTGCTCATTCTCTCATTGACCGTCAGCGGCACCAGTTGCAACGGCGCATAGATGGATTCCGACATGACACACTTGTATCCCAAAGACCTCCAATTGCTGCGCTGAATGGCTGCAATGATTGCACACACATAAATGTCTTTCTCTGGTAGTAACGGAACGTGGTTGACAAACCGCATGACGTGAAGTGCAATGGAACACCGTCCATCCAGGTCGACTTCGTCAAGGTAGGGTGCCACAGCAAGACAATCCACATGGAACGAATTGCAGTCAACATTTGCCTGAGCCAACGCATTACTTGGACATTTGAATGCATCCAAGAATCTCTCCACAGGAGAAACCATGGACGAACAATGAATCTTGCACTGATCAAACCCTGGAACGTCACACCCGAAGTCCACTGATACGGCAGCTTCCAAACAAAAGCGCAAGGTGTCGAAGTAATACATGAGCGCTTTCAGCGCGTCCATCAGGTTGACTGGCCGGGGAAGTTGGAGGCGAATCTCAGTGCCTGAAAACATTTGGTGAAGTTCTGACACTTGGAATAGCTGGGACTTTCGAATGAGCGCACTTCTTGTCATACAGCATGAATGTTTGGTAGACAGTCGACGGCAGCACGTACCCACCGTCCGGTGAAGGGGCTTCAGGGTGGATTACCAATTCCGCATAATAAAATTCAGAAGAATTGAGTGTCGATGCAACTTTCAAACACGCATCATCGATCGATACTTGTGTTTGGCTGTACAGCAATGCAGCTTTTAACCCAAGGCCTTGGAAAAGGTAGGGTTAGTTCAATGTTCACGCAAGATATGAGTTCGCCACGCTTCACATGTCACCCCAACTGTACCGAATTTCCCGCACTGCGACTTCGTCGTTGTCCCAGGTAATTTCGTTGTCGCAAATACATTGCCACACAACCGTGCAATTTGGTTGGCCTGCATGCCTGACCCTGAAAGACACTTGGAAAGTGTTCTGGTGATTTGGAGGTACCTGTGTCGGTGCAAATAATTTCAAGGACATTCGCATTTCCATTCGCTTCCCTTACTTGTACAGCAATCATCCCCGTTTCGTTGTGTTGCATGGCGTCGAGAGCTATTGATGCATAAATTCGTGCTAACGGCTGCCAACGAGCCGTCGCCATCGTACCATTTTCAAACAACTCCTTGATGGCCTGAATCAATGCCGAGGTGGGGTCTCCGAATCCAAGTAATTCCAAGTTATTGCTCAAGAATCTCGCGGATTGCAATTGTGACATCTCCATGGTCTCGGATGCTGTAGCTTGTGTCTTGGCGCGCAAAATTTGAAATGGCGCAGAGATGGCTTCGTTCTTTGAATTTATTACAATATTCATTATCTGTATGGATGTTTTGTATACAAAGTGCCGAAGAAAAAAATTCCTTGTCCTGTTAAGTTTGGCGGCGCCGCGACGGTGGGCGAAGACACCTCGAGGAAGGGCAAGGCTCAATGCTACGACTTCGGGGCATGCGCAATAGCCAAGAAAGCGCTCAATCGAACCCAATATTGAAGAATGATGAAAATGACGAGAATGTCGTGCCTGGTGACAACCGATCGAACAGGCTGAAGAACAGAAGACCACCACTTCGAACTCTCATCGCCCCGACAACGGCAAAGAACGACAGGAACACACTCAAGTCAAAGAAACGACCCCTGGAAGAAAACAACAAGAAGTCGGTCAGTCTAAAGCGCCGGGACTACAAATCGTTGTCAGATGAGGTACTAATAAGTCTGTCGATGTTGAGATCATTTCATTCCCATGCTGTAGGAAGAACAGCCTCAATTTCATAAGCAACCTCAGGAGTACCACCCAAAGTCCCTCGGAATAACCTATCTAAACGCAAGGCACAAGTCCAGTCCTGTCAAAGGAACTGCCGCAACCTCCACAGTTACAGTTCCGGTTGGTAATCGCCATTCCAGGCCATTCCATGACGGCTCATTGTCGAAGTCCATCCCGATTTCCACGCTTGCGAGTGACGAGCTCTCTCTCGATGGTAATGATATGATGCCAAGTTTGTTCTCGACAGGACGAGGGCAATCCCTCCGAGTGTCTGTGGCAAAAGTGATGGCATATCAAGCAGTGCTGGCGAGTGTTGAATCCGAGGGGCCCGACGAACGATCCATGGGGCCTGCTGTCTCTGTGATAGCAAGTTCATCACTGTCCGCAGAAGACCCAATTGTTTGTGCTCCTAGCGTTGTCGTGAGTATGTTTCAGACTGGCCGAGGATCCCAAGTCAAGATTTCCGATGCCAAAGTACGTGAATATGCCGCCAAATTCGAAGACAACCAAGACAACAATCCCTTGACACGATCGCACATGACACGAACTGGGGGTGGCGACGACTCGATTTCCAGACAGAGTACTTCGTTGGCGCTTCATCTCGATGAACAAAGCCACGACCACCTTGTCTCCAAGCAATCCACCGCAAAACAAACATCAAGCGCAAATGCTGTAGTCAGCTTGTTTCAATCAGGCAATGGACGAGCGATACACGTTTCGGCAGACAAGGCCATGGCGTATGCACAATCGTTGTTCGCTTCCCACGACGACGACACCACTGCCGTCACCAGTATACCCCCCTCAATGTCATGCACATCGACTGTACAACACGTTACCCATCGCAAATGGAGTTGTCGCGATCGTGCCATATTACGTCCCCATGACGATCAAACGGTAGCAACTGGTTCCACGGGCGAAAATACTTGCCAAGCTTTGGTTGAAAGTGTCTTTCAATCGGGGACAGGTCGACCATTGAAGATATCATTGGAAAAAGCAAAGGCATATGAGCACCAGTTGTTTGCAAATCCTCACGACGAAGACGTGGCCCAGAAGGCAACTGGTACGCCGAATGCTGCAAACGCTGAGATCAAGCTGCAACGTAATGCCAACGAAGGCCAAGCCGAGACCCTCGACGTGCATGGTTCGCGTGATGGGGATAACCTTCGACAGATTTGGTCGACTTCCACACCAGATTTTGCAAGCCGCGCTGGTCAACGTGGTGCCAGCAATGAACTGGTCGTGAGCCTCTTCACCTCAGGGAAGGGCCAGCCTTTGAAAGTAGCACGCGACAAGGCCATATCCTACGAAAGAAGTCTGTTCGAAGACAATGACGAGTCTCGAGAACCCATCAAGAAGCCGGCAATGCCTTTGCCACTTGCAGTGTCAGCCTCGGCACCTTCGACTGGACCCGTGAAACAGCACCTGTCATCCGAGAACCAAGACATCGCAAACGTGGACAAGTCCGCGGCCAGTTCACTGACGGCGATGGCGACAACACAACCAAGGATACAGCGAAAACAGTCCATTGAGCAGCTCTCAATCGTGACAAGTTTATTCACGTCCGGTCGTGGTGGTCAGCCACATACCATATCAGCGGAAAAAGTCCAAGTGTACGACCGCACATTACTTGCAGACACATCGAGTGATGTCTGTCAAGAAAAACAGGACAGCATCCCCTCCCATGCGACCTCCGAGCAAGTCCACCAGCGCAACGTCCTTGTCATCAACTCTGATGTGGTGCCAGATACACCGTCGCTCCAAGTCCCAGCGCAATCCTTTGGTGGAAGAATGCGGATGACAAGTATGTTTCAAACAGGAAGTGGCCGACACGTGGCAGTGTCTGTCGATCAAGTGGAGAAGTACCAACGGCAACAGGACTTGGATGAGGATGGACGGTCTGCAACCGACAAAGTCGACGCGACAATGGCCAAAGCATTGACCGACGTTGTCACGACCAACTCCAGCTTTGTGGAGGAGGCCGTCAAGTGTCGGGATGTTGACGGTAGAAGCGAAAAACGTGATGGGAACAATGAGGCCACGAGTTCCGACAAGAACATTGCTTTAACGTGCGATGGGAGTGCAAAAGGATCATCACAAGCGATAAAGCTGACGGCTGTGGCGTGCGTGCTTGAATCCGGGCGTTGCCAACGCGTGAATGTTTCACAAGTGCCCGTGAGTACGTTGGATGGCGCCGTGGACTCGCGAAAGAATGTTAATGACCAAAACACGGCGGCGCATACACCTCAGGTGACCCCAACGGCAAGTGCAGGCCCCATCCTCTGTCAGATCCATCAACCGGCTGAGTCAAGTGAAGCCCTGGTGAGCATTGACACTGCTTCAACCAAACTCGACAACTCTTCGACCGTTCCAAGGTCTACGGCGCATGGCAAACGACATCCCCAGTCGGTTGTCGGTACTCGACGACCAAAACCATTCAAGCCTCCGCAGAAGCTGATCAAGTCACCTCCGTGTGTCGTTCCAGCCATCGAAAGGTGCCTTCCACCCAAGGCGCCAGTTCCCGTTGTCGCAGTACCCTTTTCAGTGTCTCTCTCGGAACGGTGGGACTTTTCGTCGCTGGCGGCCAGCCCGACAGCGTTCAACCCGTACCCGTTCGAGTCGGTGATTACCAATATTTGTGCAACCAATGCACATCTCGTGCACTTCAACCACGTGGGGCGACCCGAGTTTGTCCGCGAACAAGGTGACGGCATGACGTTGAGCGCCGCCGAGTTGTACCAGTACATGGTGTCGCAGCGCCACATTCTTCCTGCGCTGGGGGCGTCTTTCGCGTGGTTTGTCAATCACTTTCGATGGATCGTGCTAAAATGCGCCGCCATGGAACGCACGTTCGTCGCGCACTTGTTTGGCAAGTACTGCACCCAAGCACAATTGGCATTCCAGCTCTCGCGTCGCTTCCACCGCGAACTCGAGGTAAAAAACACTTTGGCAACGTTGTCGGCATGACAGACTTGTGTTGGGTCCTCTTGTGGTATCGTTGTAGAAAGCTGAGCGCCCTGCCTTGATGAAGATCTATCAACGAGATGCGCACCCTGGACATGCCATTGTGCTGTTCGTCGCGGCGGTCTACGCAACTCACATTGTACTGAGCGATGGCTGGTACGGCATCGTAGCCGTACCAAGTGGGAAACAGTTTGCAGCAAAATTCTCCCGAAACCTCTGTGGCACGAAACTCGTGCTGTGGAATGCCACCTTGATCAACAATTCGGAAGGGATTCACCCGTTGGAAGCACGCGTCAACCAAGTATCCGACGACGGCGACGAGCATTTTTTCGATCAGTTTGACAAGGATAAGGACCCGTACTTGGCGCTGCATATCAACAGCACCAGGCGCGTGCGTTGGAGTACCAAGCTCGGGGTCGAACGTCCACGTAAGTTGAATTGGAATCGTTGCAACTGAAGCATCGACTAGATTTTGACGGACCATGCTTGCTTCAAAGTCTCCCCCTCCGTTCTTTGAAACAAGACGGCGGTGTCGTACGATCCATTCGGTGTGTCGTCCTCCGCGCGTCCGAGCTCTTGGTGCTTCAATCCAAGGAGATTACCCACGGTCCGCGCGTCGTCCCGGACAAAGTTATGCAAAACTTAATGTCGTCGGACTTCACGTCAGGTCCATCGACGGATACAACGATCACGTCCGCCGCCAACGCCCCTGTTCCGTTCATGCGATTGCGAGTTGCATGTTCACATGGGGCGTGGTCGGCTCCTCCGGCAAACGCGCCGCCCGTCATAACCACCGCCGTGTTGACGTTATGGCGACCTTCCGAAGACATGCAAACGTCGTGCAACGAAGGGTCAGAAATCGTCGTCACCAGTGTCGCCGTGTCGTGGAAGCAGACGGAACTCTACTTGAGCAGCTCCAAGCACACCACAGTTCGACGGGCGATCGATCGCGCCCAGACTGCGCAGGATTTCGTTGGCTACAAACCTCGCAAAGCGCTGACGGGCCAAGACATTCAACACATGTGTGGCCAAGACGTCGACATTTGCGTGTACATTATGGAGGTCACGAACGAGTACGCCATGGCGACCGACAGCACGTGGACGGTGATGTGTGTGAAGCTTCCACGATGGGGCGCCAAAGCTTGGAAGGTAGGCCCATCTCCTGTATATGACTTGGAAGTGGCTCAACGATGTGGTAGCCGAAAGCCGTGCTATGTCTTCGAAATGTGTTTGTCTCGCACTACGACCCCCGGCTGGACGTGGTTGACTGCGCGATGACGGACATGTCGACCTTTCTCACGTCCCCTTCAGCCACTTGCTACTTCGCCGCTCCGTTTGCTTTGTTGAAGGACTCGATGCAGCAACAACCGACTCGACTGGGGCAACTCCATTCCCGTGTGCGCTCTACGATACTCAACGACCCATCGACCGTCGAACAAGACCGAGCCCCACGTTCTCAATTTGCCACCCCAACGCTCGACGAACGAGCTAGCCGAACAAACGATGCCCATTGCATCACGGGACACCCCATGCACATTTTTTCGCTTCCTGAGCCCGTGAACGACAACGTGCAAGGGCCACTCGCCGCACTACTTTACTTGGACTCGGGAGCTCAAGTGTACGAGATCTTCGTCCCCGCTCCACTCATGACGCAAGCGGCCCACCATGTCGCGGGTCATGACTTGGTTTGCGTGCATCTTCGTGTCGGTGGCATCGATGATGAGACGGTCAACAGTTGCCGTAGTTGGGAAGCGATGGAAACGTCCAAGGTGCGTCGTGTGGTGGCTACGAACATTGCCGTCGTTGCGGTCCCTACCGAGATCGAGGCACTTCTGCAGCGGCTCGCATGAGTTTCCCGAACGACATTGCTTCGACGTGCCTTCACCAACAAATCAAACGACCAGAGTATTTACCAGTTATGCCGATGCTGGCGGCGACGATGGCGCTGTGACTTCGACCCATCGCGTGGACTTGCGGTGTTCGCTGCTCGTTAGCGCATGGACTTCGTCGGGGGTCAACATGACGTCGTCCACGTCAAAATGCGAGTGGAGTTCGCGGTGAAATGCGTGGAAGAGGTCGTCTTGCGATGAGACAACGTCCTTCAACTTGCACAGAAAATCGGTGTGATCGCGGTGAGCTCGGTACTTGGGTTGCTTGGCGGGGTTCTGCAGGTATTGCATGTTGCGCGGCGAGTAGTCCCACAGAAATGACGTGTGGTGGAGCCACCGGTCCTTGCCGATGCCTATCGGATGCCATGAGAGCTCCATGTAGCGGATGCGAAATACGACCGTACTTTGAGCATTCCCAGCAAACTTTCGATCGCCAAACACATAGTCATCTTCGCGAAGGGCGAACGTCTGAAGAAACACATGACATTGATCTGGCATGGGGAGCCCAACGTACGGGGGGGTGGGAAGTCGACCGTGGTCCACCAAGGAGCGACTGAAACAGCGGAGTGTAGAACGTCGATGACCATTCCATGATTTCTCGCGGATATGGCTTCACTTGCGGCAGCGCCGACTACGTAACACGATGAAAGGACGGTTGATTCCAGCCTCGACACGTTCAGGACGCACCGTGTTGATGACAAACGTTGTGAACACAGTACTGTTGTCCACGACGACCGTTCCACCTCCACTGAATCGCTTGATCACAGGGATCTTGTCTCTACGTCGCCGTGTTGATCTCGCAACCGATGCATGCGTCGATGTACCTGGCAACGGCGTCCACGTCGAGCAACCTCTCCGGTTTGCCGGAGATGCCCATGACAATGTTGGTCGATTTCGTGCGTTCATTCCAGATGAACCAGTTGTGCGGATCCACACGGAACAGCGCTTCTTCCAGCTTCAGTTGCTCAAAGATCGGAACTCCTTGGAGGCGCAGCAGCCGCAACTTTGGCAGCCCCGACGACGCCATCGCGATCGAGTCAACGTTTGGGCTGTCGAATCAATGGATTTGACGCGGTATCCGGATGCTTCTCACGTATCCGGTCGTCGCAAGAGATCGTGTTTGAACTGGCATGTCGTGTTGCCACGTATTTCACGAGACGCGCTCAGGAAATAACTTCATGGCAAGCCGTGTCTGCGCATAGAGGCTCTGTTGCGCATGCTGCATCTATGGCGGAATTGCAAACAGCCCGCCATGCCGCAGTCTTTGCGTTCAACCGATGGGCGAACAGGCCCTCTTCGCACGTGGAGTACTACATCGCACGCGTAAGCAGCACGCAGGGGTGGCTACCACTGGCACCTTCCTTCGCGAATTGCTTCGTCAGTCGGGTATTTGTCCTCACGATTCAAGGACGTGAAAGCGGTGCCATGGGACTCCATTCACACCCTGTGCTGCCACATAGCAGTGGTCGGCCTATTGCAGGGCTCTCATCAGCTGCAGCGCGCGTAGTCTCCTCTACCATCGAGCGTGTGGGGCCACGGAGCTTGTCATCGTCGACGAAGTCGAGCTAGTCGGGCAAAGTCGTGCGAGTGGGGCGTGTGCCCCGGTGTACCCCCACAGTACTTCGATTCGGCGTGCATTTTACTTCGATGGAATTATATTTTCAGATGTTCATATATGCCGAGTTGTCAATTGACTTCATTTAAATGAAATCGAAGTTGATAATCGAAGTCCTGCGGTTGGCCCTTGACGCGAGGAGTGCGCCAATCCCACTTGAGACCTTCCATCGCCATGTCCGCCATCGGTGCTCTCAAGAAACTCGACCAGAAGAAGCCCGAGTCGACCCCCACCGGCATCCTTGTACGTAATGACGATGGCGCTGGCTTGTCTTGGTCGAGGTCGCCATATGTGGACTAACCTCATGTGTTTTATGATGTTGTAGGGACTGCTGCAATCCAACGTGGTCAAGCGCGCGCGCGAGACGTTCGCGTGGTCGACCAAGCAATTCTGGAAGGTACGCGACAACTACCCTTGACACGATCTGTCGTCTTCGTTCTTTGCGTCAATCTGTGCGCGTACTCAATGGTCCAATGCATTCTCTCTCGATGTGTAGTGGTACCAATACGGCGGTCGCTTCACGTGGATTGTCGCGACGACGATGTTGTTCACAGTGATTCCTTTGGGCATGGAAATTATGCGCGAAGGTGATGTGAAGGAGGTGGAAGCTCTCCGCGTCCAGGCACTCAAGGCGCAAGGTTACACCCCTGGCCAGATTGCCCAAATGGGTTACGTTGATGCGTCCTCGGCGTCGTTAACAGAAGCCCTTCAATAGACTATCTTCCTTCATCACATTAGAATGCATTTGATGCAAACGCACAAGCAGCTATGCTTTTGAAATATGCTCCACTACACGACTTCCCGGTTGTCCTTCGTTTTCTTGACCACGGGGCCGAAAGCAGCATTCGAATCCGTCTTTCTTGCGAGGCCGAACACGTCCTGATGTAAAACCTGCCAAGAGGGCCCTTGACGATGGGACGCACTGGCGCGGCGAAGTAGTTTGTTCAGCGCAGTCCCGCCCCGCCTTACTCGGTTTTCGGCTTTGGGGGCTTTGACTGAATCATAACAAGCCCGATGAAGGTTGAGCAGATGGTAAGGAACACGACGAGTATGATAGAAGGAATCGCGATCGCATAGTAGCGCTCAGGGAAGAAGCTCTGGACGATGTGACCTTTGTCGACAAAGGGCTACGCAAAGAAAAACCCCAACGTGACGACACAGTGCGCAGATCATTTGCATCCGCCATCAAGAGAAAGAGAGAGTTTGGAGAGCAGTACCGTGATAATGACCCACAAGAAGTAGTACACATAGGACACGACAGACACTGCGAGCAATATCGCGCCTGACCGCTGGTCTGACGATCCTCCCTGCGAACAGCACATCGTGATGAGAAGGAGGACGCCATAAAGAAGTTTACACAATACCATCAAGACTGTGCAGACGTGCGACACAGGCGGCTGCGTTCTCGGAGACGCCGCGGTGCAGGCGACTGGGGGGATGCGGTGCAGTTCCGAAGTGGCAACAGCGCGAAGGTGGTCACTCGACCGGCCAACATTCTCGGTGATTTCAGTGACACAAGTCAGACATCGGTTTGGTTGGCCAAAATGATTATATTTCAACCAATTATAATTCTCTAAAATGAACCAATGATTCTTCGGTATGGGAATTGGGCTGCCGTCGGCATCAATTTGGCTGGCTCCTGTCCGTTGGCACCGATGCAGCGCATGGCCCTTACGTCCCGCGGGGTACTCCGATCGGCCGCTGCTGCGTCGTTCGGTGCCCCTGCTTCTTTGCGATCGATGAGCGTCGATACCGTCTTTCGCGCGTCCACATGCAACATTCTCCCCATTCAAGCGAGTTTCGGGTCGTCGATTTTGCCCATGTACACCCCGATGGCATCTGTCGTGCCTTCGCCAATGGAATGTCCCGAGTTCAACGACAACATGGCCCCTATCATGGCGATCAAGCGAACATATCAACCGAGTGTATTGCGACGAAAGCGAAAGTTCGGCTTCCGTGTGCGCAAAACGACCGTGGGAGGTCGCCGCGTCCTGAACAACCGCTTTAACAAAGGCCGCAAGCGTCTCTCGGCGTAAACGGCACAGCGCGACCATGACACTAACGCTTGTTCAATACACTACACTTCTTCTGCACGACAGAATCACCCGACCAGCGGAGACTGCATCTGTACAGCGACGGGTTATGCATCCTGCTGACCTTAGCCACTGCCAAGCCTCTCTCTGCATCATAACATCAACCGTTTTTGATACGATTTCATAACCCGAGATGGTTCATACATAAGCAGTTCTGCCGAAACGTGGAACCGGTCGAGAGCCTCGCAACGTCCCTGGAGCAAAATTCTGGCGCATGGAAGTGGCAGTGTGCTCTCATACGAATGTCTGCACTTGCCACTTCCACAAGCTCTTTTGCCCAGCCAGCTCCAGTAGAAATCGGAGAGGCTACTCGACGAGCACGACTTCAGCGTCAACGCTGGTGTAAAGCACGTGGACGAGAAAAAATGTTTACATTTAGTTGTGATCTTTTGGGTGGATAGCTAACAATGCATTTGTCGAGTCGAAGGAGTGTCAATTGGCCCAAGGTATTTGCAAAGGGCAGGCGAAAACACTTCGTAGATCAGCGTCAGAGGCTTGCCTCCCTGCCAGAACAAGTACGACCGGCCCCAGAAAGGACCTGGGTGGCCAAACTCCTTTTCCAGTGCAGCAGAACGGCCGTGGAAGACAGACTTCATATCCCGAAACAGTTCCTTTTTGTTGGCCTTGATGCTGCTTCCAATGGGGAACGTCCGGTTTTGGCCAAAGATCGAGTCAATCTGCGCGTTCACGAGTCAGTATTTTTCGTGTAGTTTGAATAAAGCAGCTTACGTCGCCACTGCTCCACCAGGACGCCGCATACCCCAAGCGCTCGCCGTTGGTATTTCGAAGCCACACTTGGCGCCGATGCCGCGGCTCTCGGATTTCTGCAATGTCGCTCGGCGCATTGTCCAACGACCCGTTGATGCAGGAAAAGTCGATCACGTCCACTTCGGTCTTGAACCTGGTCCACATCGCATGAGTGTCATCATGTGACAAACGAAGAACACAAAGTGCAGTACCCGGTGAGAAGGCCAAGTTGGTACGTCGGCGACCCGTCACCCAGAAGGAACAGCGTCCACGACGCTGGCATGTTAGGAATGCCATACTACGGCCGGGCCTGGGACCTTAGCACTTGCCGCGCAGAGGTCACGAAATATCCGCAACACATCCATACCTGAAACTCATCGACATTGGTGGTGAAGTCAATGGTTAATGCCATCCAGCCGGGTGCGCCATGTGCAGTCAGCGCCATGAGATTTCTTGTGCGAGGAATGGTGAATGATGCACCCGCACCCAGGTCAATTTTGAAGTTGTCAACATTATCCGGATTGCCGGATATACGCAGGCTCCGATAAAATGAACACCAAATAGAGTTCAACCTTGCTAGAAATAGTGTTATTTCTCTTTAAATGGTGTTGTATACTGTAAATCCATAGCTTTAAAATGAGCGCTAATTCAATAGATTTGTCATGTGCGTTCCAGAAAGCGCCAAAACAGCTTCGCTCCGCGCAATTCTCTCACGGGGGAGTGACTGTCCATACGACGAGACGTCGAAGCACCAAAGAGTGATCGTTTTCGCTGTGACATCCTGTGCGAATCGCAAGATTTCTATCGTATTATTGCCTATTCAGTACCACCGTCACCTTTGTAGTACTTTTAGTATGCGCAGCCCTGTCATAGATACACTGGAGGTTATGGCATATCTGCAAAACCTCTCGCTTTCGATAACCCGGTTAATAGGGTGTTGTGTGGATTTGTTTCCTCAGCTTATATACAACAGTTTAGCTTCTTGTCGCAGATATCGAACTAGAACCTCTATTTTTCCATACCTGTGGTAAAAGGATATTCATCGGACCATTCATCCGAAATTAGTTTTCACAGGTAGTACCTAATTGTCACATGTCGCGCACAATCACTTTGAATTTTGACATGGCCGTGTCAATGCTGCGGATGGCGGCAGTGTTGGCAGCTGCGCATGCCGTGTCGGGGTTGGACCGACCCTTGTACGGCATCGACTACGATACCCGAACGTCTGAGTGGGGTGGGTGTAAGAGCGACGATGCGATTCGAAACGACTTCCGCGTGTTGAAGACAATCACGTCCAGTGTGCGAATCTACACGCTCACGGACGGATGCGCCGATCGATTGCTCAACGTCGCGTCGGAAGTCGACATGCGCATTTGGTTGGGGATATGGGGCAATGTAAACGCGACACAGGACGCATTTGAGCCTGAATTCAAGACGTTGCAGCGATTGGTGTTGGCCCGCCGCGTCCGCAACGACAACGTGGTCGGGATCCACGTCGCCAGTGAAGCGCTCTTCCGGTACTACTCGCAAGAAAAGCACGACTGGGCTGAAGAATACTCGGGCGTGCAAAAGCTGTTTGGGTACGTCGACAAAGTGCGCTCGTTCTTGCGCGCGCAAAACTTGGCGTTTCCCGTCACGATCGCCGACGTCATGGACTCGTACAATTCGGTGCCGGAGATTTACAACATCGTGGACGTCGTGTCGGTAAATCAGTTCTCTCAATGGGAAGGCGTGCTGGCCACCGACGGCGTAAACGTGCTCTTCGAGCGCATGGTGGATATTCAGCTCGCCGCGCGGAAAGCTGGCAAGGTCGTCGTGATCTCCGAGACGGGATGGAGTGCGAACGGCACGGTCGCGGCCATCAAGGAAGCCACCCCCGAGTCGTCTGCGGTATGCACGATCGAGCGCAGTCTCTGAAATCTCGCTGATATCCCGAGTTGTAGACATTCCTCCACGACTTTATGCGGTACACGGAGCAACAAAACATTGCGTACTACTACTTTACGTCGTTCAACCTGGCGTGGGACGGCAACTCGGACTTCGGCGAGATCGAGCAGAACTTTGGGCTGTTTGACGAGCACCGGAACCTGCTGCCCCACGTGAAGAACGTCACGTTGGGTGCGTACCACAAGCCCGTGCGCCTGTGGCACCAAGGTCGCGTCGTCAAGGCAGACGGACCAAACACCAAGACATTCGGCCGTGTGTACTTGGACGTGCCGGCGCGCGGCCTCAGTGACTCGCTGGATCGAGAAATTTGGTTCTACGACCCAGACGTCGGGTCATTCCGAAGTCGCAGCACCAACCAGTGCCTCGTGGCCAACCAGACGGAAAATACACTGCATGTCACGTGGTGCCATCCCATGACACACGCTGCCCAGCGCTGGCGATTCCAGTCCAGCACGCCGACAACTTCGCCGCCTACCACAACAACCACGACTATCACGCCTCGTCCAACGACCACCACGGCCGCGCCAGCCGCGATCAACCCCAATTGCGGGGAATGCGACAATTGCCAGTACTCGACGCCGTACTACTCGCTGTGCTATGCCAACTGGAGCCCCATCGACTGCGGCCGAATGGGCTCGACGCATCACTGGTGCGGCCCTGTGGACGGACGGCGACTCACTTCGAAAGACACGGACACCCCCATCGCAGTGTTGAAACACCAAGTGGCAGGCCGTCACCGCTCGCTGTTGTCGGCAGATACAACCCACGATGATTTCGTCGGCATGCTGGCATGGGAAGGCGTGTCGAATGCGGACGACGTGCCACTGTGCATGCGTGCCAAGACAGACGAGTTTGGTGTCGACGTCGCGCCATGCGATTCCAGCGCAGGCGGGTTCTCTTTCGCCGTCCGCCCCCTCGACGCGGAAGAGATCACAGTGCAATCGCTTGACTCGGGGCTCCTTTTAACGGCCACCCCCAACGTATTGGGGGTCACGGTGGCCGCCCCCGCGACGGACAAAGCCGTCCACGATGCTAACCAAGTCTGGTACTACGACCCGCTCCTTCAGCGCATTCGGTCGAATGCGTACACGAGCTACGACACGTGCTTGGACATTGTGGCCGACGGGCAGGTGCAGGCCCGCGGGTGCGATCACAGCCCAAGCCAGGCGTGGTCGTATAATGACTTGACGGGCCAAGTGCTGTCGATGGGCAAGTTGGGGCGGTGCCTGGTGACCGGGACTGGCACTGCAGACGCTGCAATCGACTTTTGCGACGTGTCGAATCCCCGTCAAAAGTGGGCGTTCAACTTGGTCACGACCGCGGTGCCTGACGTTGACTTCACCCACCTCCCTCCGATCCCCACGACGACGGAAGCACCGACGACCACCGTCGAGCCGACAACGTCGACCGTCGCTCCCACCACGACCATCGCGACCACTGTGCCACCAACCGCGACGGCAGCGACCACCACAACACCTGCCCCATCCACGACGACTCAAGAACCGCCCGTGCGCGAGTTTGTGTTCGTTTCGCATTCCAAGCACCGAGTCATTGCACGCCGACCCCCTGCGACAACCTCGACTGGTGCTCCTGCCCGAGTGTAGCAGCCATGCGACCCATCCAACCCTCCCTGCTAACCTCTTTGATCTGTCCCCCCATTGAGTGAATATATATACCCCATAGCCTCGCCTTTGAAACTCTCTCGCTCACGCCACGCGGTGCTCATGCAAAGTTGTACAGGGTGTTGTGTGCACTTTGGCTTTCAAGAGTCTACATATCGCAGCGCAACCGAGCGCGATCGCCTGGTTCAAATTGTGATGTGCAGTGCATTGGGATGCAGGACTCGATCAAGACGAGACTGTCTCCGCACTCGGTGCCACGGCCATTGCACTCCAAGCTCCTGCGCTATCCACGAGTGAATTCCCACTCATTCGCCGCCGCGCCTGCTCCACGAATCGCACCGACGAGTGGGGTCCTTCCTGCCCCATCGCGACCGCTCCGCCGCACTTCCCCTCGACGTATTGATGTCGTGAGCTTCATCTATAATCAGAACTAAAGTCGACTTCATCTATCATCTTCCAACAATTCACAACATTGGATTGAATTTTGGCTTGACATTTCCGACGAAAAGGACCGCCACCCATCTCAACGAGAGCAAGGAAAGTTCTGTCTCGGAGATAATTTCAAAACCAAATTGGACCGCAGGTTTGTGTACGTGCGGGCCACGAATTTTGCTATCGTCGAGCGTCGACTTCTTCGTTCCTACGCTCATGTCATCGATGCGGACAACTTGGATCACGACAGATTTCACAGAGCATGCTTAAAAGGCGTACACGAGGCACCGACGCACGTCTATTGAGTAGCATGGTTAGTATCGTACTGTTGCAATGGACACTTTTATATCGTGCGTGCGAGGTTCCTCGGGGGCAGTGGCCCATACAGGGACGGCTGGACGTAACAACCCGTTTCCGGACGTGGTCCCATCCTTGGCGGAGTAGTCTTTGTAAAGAGGCACCGACCTATTCATAGGCAGCCTAATGTCTATGCCCTGGTGCCCGCCGCCTTGGAACCCAGACGTTTTCTGCACGTCAGCACTTTTTTGAACATGTGACCGTGTGGAGGCACTTATCCAATACTACTTCTCTACACTTTCAATTCATCACATTGAGAAAAAATTTTCACCTTCTAATTTTCTGCTAAGGTTTTTGATGAAGTGTTGCGCTGATATACACTTTGGGGAAGTCGGTGGGTGGCGTTTGATTGGGTACTTGACGTGGGGTGAAATCGGACGGTCCTTTGAGAATTTATGCGCACACCTTTTTATATTGATATACTGAGAAACAGGATGAAGGTGAGTGGAATGCAAAATGCATGCGCCGGGTTGAAAAAACCTTTGTGACACGATAACCGCAAAACTAGATTTAGGCCCACGCACAGGTGATAGTATGTGGTTTCAGAGACTCGTGCGTTCGTTGCTCGATACGCCGCACTTTTTGAATTGCCTGCGCCATGAAGACCGTGTCTGCGCTGGTGCTCAGCCTTGCCGCGACTTCCACGCTTGCTTTGGACCGCCCGATGTATGGCCTGGACTATGACACCCGCACGAGTGAATGGGGTGGCTGCAAGAGCTACGATGCGTTCGTTGCCGACTTCAAGACGTTGGCCCCGGTCACGAAGCACCTGCGCGTTTACACAACCACGGACGGGTGCATCCAGCGCCTCCTTGACGCGGCCGCCAAGACGAACATCAAGATTTGGTTGGGGCTCTGGGGCAACGTCGACGTTGGCGATGTGTTCCCGAGCGAATTCAAGACCCTGCAGAAGCTCGTCAAGGAGAACCGCGTCCGCAACGACAACGTGTTGGGCATCCACGTGTCGAGCGAAGCGCTGTTCCGACACCACCACGAAGTCGAATGGAGTAATCGCACGGGTGTGAACAAGCTGATCGGGTATTTGAACCAAACGCGCAGCTTCCTTCGCGCGAGCAACATTAACATCCCCGTCACCATCGCCGATGTTGTCGACACGTACCGCGCGGCCCCCGAGCTGTACGACTACGTCGACGTTGTGTCGGTGAACCAGTTCTCGCAATGGGAAGGAGTGCTCGCGAAAGACGGCGTGAACGTCCTCTTTGAGCGCGTGAAGGACGTGATCTTGGAATCTCGCAAGCGCGGGAAAATCGTCTTGTTCTCTGAAACCGGTTGGAGCTCTGGCGGCAACGTGTCTGCCATCAAGGAGTCGACGCCTGCCTCGTCCGCGGTAAGGATCCTCTTCTGCAACTTTTGGCTCCGCTTGACACCAATTCCTCATGTCATCGTCGACGGCTAGCGCTTCCTTCGCGACTTCATGCGGTACACCGAGCAGCAAAACATTGCGTACTACTACTTCACTGCATTCAACCTGGCGTGGGGTGAGACAGAATTCGCCAAGGTCGAGCGCAACTTTGGTCTCTTCGACGAAAAGCGCGTGATCAACCCGCACGTGGCCAATGTCACCCTCGGCAAATACCACAAACCTGTGCGCATCTGGCATGACGGCAAAGTGCTCAAAGCGGACGGCCATTACTCGGAATCGTTCGGTCGTCTGTCGCTTGGCGCGCCTGCCCAAGGCCTCACAGACACTCTCGACCGCGAAATCTGGTTCTTTGACGAAGACCTGTTGACGTTTCGATCGCGCAGCACGAACCAGTGCCTCGACACATATGCAGACGCGGACGGCAACTCGCAAGTCCATGTGTACTGGTGCGATGGTACCAACTACAACCAAAAGTGGCGCTTTCGTGGGGACGGTACATTCCAAGTCGTGTCCAAAGCGAACGCGATCGCCGCGGGGGTCACCGGCGTGGACGCGAAGCTCGGCAATGGCGCCAACCGCACCAAGGATGACGTCAAGGTTCCTGTCGGCGTCTTGTACGCCTCCAGCTTGGCAGCGCACGGCCGCTGCCTCCGCGCCGTCGGCGACGACATCGCCATGATGAACTGCCAAAAGGACGCCGACAACAAGTTTACGGTCCGCCCGTTGGACACGGAAGAAATCTACATCTCGGCCCTCGACACCAAATGGAAGCTCACGGAAGACTACGGCCGCGTCACGGTCAACGCAAAGTCTGCCGCCAGCGCCGACGTCGATGGCCAAGTGTGGTTTTACGACCCGCTCCTCCAGCGCATCCGCAGCAAGGCGAACGGCCGATCGTGCCTCGACTTGGTCGAGGACAAGATCAAGGGTTTGGTTCAAGGACGCCTATGCGACCACACGCCGAGCCAGTCGTGGTCGTACAACGACTTGACCGGTCAAATCCAGCACTTGGGCAAGATCGGGCTCTGCTTGAACGCTGAAAAGGACGGCCAAGAGCTCCATGTCGTGTACTGCGACGTGAATGCACCGACCCAAAAGTGGACCATGGACTTGGTGAACCAGTAAAAAAGAGTTGTTCGGCTTACTACGATTCCGTGTAACATCATCTCAAGTAGAAAGTCGATGAAGGTATTGGGGGGCGCATCTGGATGGCGGGGAGTCCTCGTCGTGTAGTCGTCCCGCCGTCGTGGAGCTGGTGCGGTCGAGGGTGACAGAACGAGCTTTGCAGGACATACGAGTGGGGTGTAGTGCTTCCGAATGCACAACTGAATTTCATGTGGTGGCGCCGACTTCGACAGTGTCAATGAATCCCAGCAGGTCGGAACCAACGAGCCGCCGACCAAAATTCACTGGGGAATCCATCTCCTCCACAAACCAATGCGCCCTGCGCTCGAGCGAAACGTGGTGTGGATCGCGTGCGATACAGTACCTTTAGCTGCAGCCGCTCTACCTCGGCTAGCTGCTTGCTCGCAACGGGGAAAGAGGCTACAGCCGCACCCACGACCGACGCAGTCAGTTGGTTCCCCTCCGTCGCCATCGACCAATTGACACGCCGCGGTCACCTTGTATACCGTAGCATCGACCGCGATACGGTACAATTGCCCGTCGATGTGGCCTTTCTCGCGCGTGCCATCACTTTTGTATGAGGATTTGTATGGTGGTCAAATCGCGCAAGGCCATTGGCGTAGCCATGTGCCAAGATACTGCGCAGTTGCCCTTCAACGTTGGGCGTCTCTTTATATGCATACACTCTATGAGCCTATATATATCATTCGTCACCTTATTGTTTTTCATTATGTCCAATTCCTTGTCTAAACGGATATGTCATCCAACTCGATACAATTGGTTTTAACAAGAAATAAAGTTCCATAGTGTCCCCACGAGCAGCGGTGCCGCCAAGTCGTCGTCGCCAGCTCACTTTTGGAATTGCGTCGTCATGAAGACTGTGTCTGCATTGGTGGTGGGGTCGTTGGCCGTGGCTGGCGTGACGGCGCTCGATCGCCGTCTGTACGGCATCGACTACGACACGCGTGCGAACGAGTGGGGTGGGTGCAAGAGCTACAACGACTTCATCGCAGACTTCAAGGCCCTGTACAACACAACCAAGCACGTCCGCGTGTACACGACGACGGACGGGTGCATCCAGCGCCTCCTGGACGCCGCCGCCCACGAAGACATGAAGCTTTGGCTTGGTCTGTGGGGCAACATCGAACCGGAGAAGGATGCGTACCCGTCGGAATTCAAGACGCTCAAGAAGCTCGTGAAAGAGAATCGCGTCCGCAACGACAACGTGTTGGGAATTCACGTGTCGAGCGAAGCGCTCTTTCGGTACTACCAAACGGACAGCTGGAGCAACCGCACGGGCGTCAAGAAGCTCCTCGGGTATCTCAACGAAACCCGCACGTTCTTGCGTGAAAACAACATCAACATCCCTGTCACGATCGCCGACGTTGTCGACTCGTACCGCGCCGCGCCGGAGCTCTTTGACCACGTCGATGTTGTGTCGATCAACCAGTTCTCGCAATGGGAAGGTGTGTACGCCGCCGACGGCGTTAACGTCCTCTTTGACCGCGTCAAGGAAGTGCAGTTTGCCGCGCGCAAGGCGGGCAAGGTCCTCCTGTTTTCCGAAACCGGATGGAGCGCGGCCGGCAACGTGACAGCCATCAAAGAAGCGTCGCCGAAATCGTCCGCGGTACCGACTCCATGTCTCGGCGATCCCTCACCCGTCTATCTCTAGCGCTTCCTTCGCGACTTCATGCGGTACACCGAGCAGCAAAACATTGCGTACTACTACTTCACGTCGTTCAACTTGGCGTGGGGTGAAGAGTCGTTTGGCGTTGTCGAGCGCAACTTTGGTCTCTTTGACGAAAAGCGCGTGATCAACCCGTACGTGGCCAACGTCACCCTCGGCAAGTACCACAAGCCCGTGCGCATCTACCACCAAGGACGTGTGCTCAAGGCGGATGGCCACAACTCGTCGTCGTTTGGCCGGTTGTACCTCGAACCTCCCGCCCAGGGCCTCAGCGCGACCCTCGACACCGAGATCTGGTTTTACGACGAAGACTTGCTCACGTTCCGGTCGCGCAGCACCAACGAATGCCTCGACACGTACTCGGAGAACGGGCAGTCCAAGCTCCACGTGTTTTGGTGCGACGGCACCAACTACAACCAAAAGTGGCGCTTCAAGGGCGATGGCACGTTCCAGGTCGTGTCCCAAGCGAACGGCCTCGTTCCCGACGACTCGCTCACGACGGACGTCGACCCGAAGCTCGGCACCGGCGCCAACCGGTCGACCGAAGACGTCCGCGTCCCCGTCGGAATCATCAAGGGGTCGAGTGCCGCGGCCCACGGCCGGTGCCTCCGCGGCGTCGGCAACCAAATCGTCATGGTCGATTGCCAAAACGACGCCGACAACAAGTTTACGATCCGCGCGTTGGACACGGAAGAACTGCACATCACGGCGCTCGACACCAACTGGAAGCTCACTGAAGACTACGGCCGCATCACGGTCACGGCGCAGAGCGCCGACAGCGCCGACTTGGACGCGCACGTGTGGTTTTACGACCCGCTCCTCCAGCGCATCCGCAACAAGGCCAACGGCCGATCGTGCCTCGACTTGGTCGAGGACAAAGTCAACGGGTTGGTGCAGGGCCGCCTGTGCGACCACACGCCGAGCCAGTCGTGGTCATACAACGATTACACGGGCCAAGTTCAGCACTTGGGCAAGATCGGGCTCTGCTTGAACGTCGAAGAAGATGGCCAAGAGCTCCATGTCGTGTACTGCGATGCCGACTCGCCGACGCAAAAGTGGACGTTTGACTTGATCAACCCGTAAAGCCATCCATGTAACCACGTCCTTTATCATCGTGGCAGCGAGTCCATGGGGGGCAATGGATGGATGGATGGATGGCGTGTGAGGCCATGTGGATGTTGCGAGGTAGCGCCGCGTCGACGGGAGTTTGCATGAGGGGTGCAGGTGCTGCTGCTGATGAACGTTGTCGCCCCACACTGTCGAGCTGGTGGGACTCGGGTCGTCGAGCGACCGACTCGAGTGTGCGAGCATGACGAGGACGCTTGATCGGTGGTGTGCTTTTTGAAATGACGGCGTTCTCGATTCGTCCTGTGCAAATGGCGAGTATTCGACACCCCGTGATGCATAAATTAGTGGGGAGCATTCTAGTTGACGTTCGAAGAGCCACGTCGTCGTCGTGGTTGTCATCGACCACGTGGGACGACGCGGGGCGGCGATGCCTCCGTCAGGGAGAATGGCGCAGGCAGTCGCCGTGTGAGCTACGATGACGACGACGTGTGGAGCAAGTGCATGGCCCACTTTTGCGTCGGCACACTCAAGTCGCAGTACCCCACGACGACAGGTTTGCCCTCCCGCGCTTCCAAGCACCGACCGAGCTGGCCCATGTGAAGGAGCTGCCCCGTCAGGTCATTATACGACCACCACTGGCTTGGACTGTGATCGCAAAAGTGAGTCTCGACGCGACCGGCGCTGTCGACGACGTCGAGGCAGTCGGTCATCTTGGCCTTGCTTCGAATGCGCTGAAACATCGGGTCGTAGTACCAAACTTGCGCTGGTGGTGCTATGTCCGACGCGGGACCGGCCACCGTCACGGCGCGGTTGGCCGATGTCGTGAGGGAAAGGTCCAAGGCTAGCGACGTCACAGTGAGCTCCTCGGCCTCAAGCGACCGCACGTGAAACTGGAACGAGTGGTCATGGGCGTCGCAGTCGGCGGCTTCGACTCGGCCGTCTAGCGACGTTCGGAGGCACGTGCTGCCGCTGTTGCCACACCAGTGGTGGTCACCTCCCATGCGTTTGCAATCGGCAGGGGACCAGTTCACGTAGCACAGCGAAAAGTACATGCCAGCGAACTGGCAGTTCCGGCAGCTGCCGCACGTCAGCGACTCGTCGGCCTCGACTGGGTCTTGGTTGGGACTCGGAGCGTGAAATAACTCGATCGCGGCCTCCTTTGGTCGGATGTGCCACCGCTGGGACGATAGGATCGATGGGTCGCCGCCGTCGGCAGGTTGGCACCACGTGACATTCAATTCATGCGTCGACCCGCGGTCTTCACTCTTCATTATGGACAGGCACTGGTTGGTGCTCCGGCTGCGGAATGTGCCCAACGCACGGTCGTAGAACCAGATTTCACGGTCGAGCGAGTCACTGAGGCCGCGTGCCGGCGGCTCCAAGTACACGCGGCCGAAAGTTTTGGTGTTGTGGCCATCCGCTTTGATGACCTGGCCATCGTGCCACAGGCGCACGGGTTTGTGGTACGCACCCAACGTGACGTTCTTCACGTGGGGCAGCAGGTTCCGGTCCACGTCAAACAGACCAAAGTTGCGCTCGATCTCGCCCGAGTCCGTGTCGCTGCCCCATGCTAAGTTGAACGATGTAAAGTAATAATATGCCATGTCCTGCTGCTCCATGAGCCGCATGAAGTCGTGGAGATATCTCTATACAAGCATCAACGACCAAGATGAGGAGCGCTTCGACGTATACAAGTCGAATGGGAGGTCATCGTACCCCCGACGACGATGGCGATGCTTCCTTGATGTCGGGCGTTGTGCCGTTGGCGCTCCAGCCGGTCTCAGAGAGCAGGACGGGCTTGCCGGCCATCCGCGCGGCCTGGCGGATGTCGTGCATCCGGTCGAAGAGTAAGTTGGCGCCTTCGTTGGACCACCCACCTTCCCATTGCGAAAACTGGTTGACTGTGACCACATCCACGATGCTGTATATCTCAGGCACGGACTTGTACGAGTCGATCACGTCCGCGATCGCAACGGGAAACGTCAAGTCGTTGGCACGGAGGAATTCGCGGACCTTCTCGACGTACCCAAAGATTTTTTGTACGCCCGAGTACTCCTCCGCCCAGTCGTGTTCGTCCCGCGAGTAGTATCGAAACAGTGCCTCGCTTGCGACGTGGATCCCGACCACGTTGTCGTTGCGCACGCGGCCGTCCAGCACGAGTTGCTGCAAACGGACAAACTCGGGCTCAAAATCGTCCTCGGTCGCATTCACGTTGCCCCAGATGCCCATCCACAGCCGCATGTCAATTTCCGACGCCACGCTCAACAAACGCTCGATGCACACGTCGTCAATGCTGTATACACGGATGTTTGACGTGAGCGGCTTGAGCACTTGAAAGTCCAGCCGCATGTCGTTCTCGCTCTTGCACCCGCCCCACTCGTACGTGCGTGTGTCGTAGTCGATCCCATACAACGATCGGTCCAGCGCCACCGCGACGTGGAGCCATCCGAACGCTATTGCCGCCGCGACGGTCAACGACGATCGCGCCATCCTTGCGGCAATTCAAAAGTGACAACAACGCAATCCAAGGCGATATGCCTGTCACATTGCATACACTGCAAGACATGATAGCCATCCATCTCTACGGATATCGATGCATACAGGATGTTCTATCAGTGTTAATCTCGAAAATGGCGCGATGTGTCTTTTTGGGTATATAGCTATTCAAAGGATATGAAAAGATAGAGAATTTGAAGTTGGATGTGTCCCTGCGACGTGATTGGGTAACTCGCAGAAAGGACCACCGTAGACGAAAAACGTACCGTACCGACACGACGGGCGGCGCGCCTCGACCACCGGTCGGCGGACGCAGCACAACCACACGGGCCCTCTTCAGGGAAGCGGCAATGCCACATCTCTTGACGCGACTGGGGATGGCATGGATGCATCATGGCGAGGATGCACCCGACATGGGCCGCGAGATGGCAGAGTATGTTGGACGATGCATTGCATCCAAGCGTGTAGACTAGGGTGCACGCGCGCGCTTCGGTCGTGCTGGACACGACCTGCTCGACCACAACGACAACGGCGTCCAAGTACTTGGGTGTGTTCCAGCGTTCTCCTCCACTATATCCCATCCCACGACAGCCCATGTCTCCACCACCGTGGCCGGGAATATGTACACGAGATCCACACGACGTTGGAAAGTAGTGCTTTTATTTTGGCCCATGGACACCACTCGCCGCCACGAGCGCCGGCGAGACAGCGGCAACTCGCGCGATGCTAGATTTGACCAGCGTCATGTCGCTGTCGAAGGCGCTCTCCGACTGCCTTGCGTTCTTACGGCGTGGCGTTGACGAGCTTGATGCTCCACTTTTGGTTGACGTTGGTTTTATCGCACGACCACAAGTGAACGAGGCCGTTGGCATTGTCGGGGCCGTCGAGGCAAAAGCCAAGGTGCGTTGCGTGGTGGAGTTGGCCCGTGATATCGTTTACGACCCACTTTTGATTGGCATTGGCGGCGTTGCAATAGTAGAGATGGACCGTGCCGCCGTTCCTGCGCTCGTATGCGTCCAAGCACAGGCCGCGGTACGACTTGCTCGCAATGAGTTGCGTGATCGGGTCATAGAACCACTGGTGGCAGTCGGCATTCGACTTGCGCACGGTTTCCCACGACACCCTGCCGTTCGATTCGGTCAGGACGCCGCCGCTCGACTTGATTCCGATTTCGACTGGCTCGGCCGCGGCCGGCACCATCGAGATCACCTGGTTTGGGTGGCCGACGCACGGAAACATCTTGACCACGAGCTTGCCGTCCGACGTCTTGGGCCGCGCCAAGTCGACGTCGATGCAAAAGTTGGCGTCGTTCAGGCTCGCGATGTTGCCATTTTTCACCGACCACTTTTGATTCCGGTTCTCCTTGGAGCAGTACCACGTGTGCAGCGTCTGCTGGTAGCGGTCGCCGTACGAATCCAAGCACGCGTCCGAGCTCTTGGAGTACAATATGCGAGCGTCCGCGTCCCAGAGCCAGATCTCGTCGTCAAAGATGCCAGAGCGGCCGGACGCGGGCTTTTCCGCGTACACGCGGCCATAGTTGTCGTTGACCGTGTTGTCGGCGTTCCAGTGGCGATTGACCTTGATCACGTTGCCTTGGGCCCACAAACGGACCGCCTGGAGTGGCGCGCCGACGCGGACGGCGGCGATCGCTGGCTTGAGGACTCGGTCCGTCGTGTATATGCCAAAGTTCTTTTCAATGTCGCTCGACCCAAAGGGCAAGTCGAACCCGGAAAAGTAGTACGTGTTGATGTTCTGCCGCGCGACGAGCGTCAAAAAGTCCTGCGTGAACACGCCTTGCGCGCGCGGCGACGCTTCCGTCACGACGGGGTGCTCGCCGGCCGTGCTCCACCCGGTTTCGTGCATCTCGATGAGCTTTCCGGCGCGCTTGGCACGAGTTTGTTCTTCCTGGAACCGCGTGAACGTAAAGTGTGTGCCGTCCTCGGGCGTGATGTGCTGCCAGAACGAAAACTGGTTGACGGCCACCACGTCGACAACGTTGTACAGGTCGGGAAACATCGTGTACATGTCCATGATGTCGGTGATCACGACTGGGAACGTGTACCCGCGGCCGCGGAGGTAGTTGCGGGCTTCGTTGAGGTGGTTCACGAGCGCGTCGTAGCCGCGACGGTCGCTGCTGCCGGTCACGTTGCCAGGACCTTGCACGTAGTACCGATACAAGGCCTCGCTCGAGACTTGGAGGCCGAGGACGTTGTCATTTCGAATCGCTTGGGTCTGTTCGACGAGCGCTTTCAGGTTGTTCATTTCGGACGGAAACGAGTCGTGGACGCCGGGGGCGTCGATTTCGCTCCACATGCCGAGCCAGACCTTGAGCCCGCGGTTGTCGGCGACTTGCAGCACGCGCTTGGTGCATTCAAAGTTCATCGAGTAGATGCGGATGTTGTCCGTGACTTGTTTGAGGACAGTCATGTCTTGGGCCATCGTGTTCGCGTCCTTGCACCCGCCCCACTCGGAGAGGCGGGTGTCGTAGTTCATGCCATAGAACTTGGCGTCGAGGGCAGCTGCCGACGACACGGCGAACGCGGCAGCTACGGCGGAAGGTACTTTCATCGGAGAGAAAGTTGGCGAATGCCGAGCTGCAGTTGCTTGCCCCCGCTTGAACGGTAAAGACCATGGCCACCGTGACGAACCACCCGATCCTGTCAAAACATACTACGGTTTGTATACTCATGTGTGCCTGGATGTGTAATGCGTTACGTCCATACAAATTTCAGGTTTGGTCGGCATGGCAGCGGCGTGTAGTGCAATTCGGAAGTCGTTGTAAATGCTGTCCAACACGCCGAATCGAACCACGTTTTCTCTTCTCCATAGATCCTAATCAGGACATATCATGGCGGTTGGTACAGAAATACCGAATGTAAACGTCCAAGACTCATGGAGATCGTGCTGCGGCAAAAGCAGCAGCTGCATCGGAAATTTCGCCTGCCACCGCCGCGGTGGCTCCCGCGGCGTCGCCGTCGCGCGACCAGAGGCTATCACGACGGACGTTGTCCATACCATTTTGAGGAGATCCATTAGCCTGTGACGCAGCGATGCATCCATGGTTTGTGCAATGTTGCGCGGTCTCGTCTTGTTGTGTAACTTTCCACGTCTATCTGGACGCTGTACAGTGCACATGGCAAGATGCGTCGGGCGTGCGCGCGCATCCGGCAGAGACTCTCTGGGCGCCCGACCGACGCTTCTCACGGCGAATTCAGCTCGGTACACACTGGTATCGACCGAGCCTGTGTACTACATTTCTCGCGAGAACCTGTCGAACTTGCCGACGAGACGAAAGAATCGTAGCAGCGACGACAAGATGTCGTTTCTGATTTGCTGAAATCATGTTTCACGTGCCAATCAATTGCTTCAGAAACAAAAAAGCATTTTTGGTTTTATCCAATCACATTTGCTACAATGTGGCATGGCGATTGGCTGATCCAGCGCCGTCAGTGCCGCCGCGATTGCGATTCCTTCAACTTCCATCGGTCGGCGGCCTTCATGACGGCGAACGTGCAATACGAAGGTCCTCCCGAACCAGTGGCGCCGTGGAACTGGTCGAACATTCCGGACTACGGTCGTTTGCAGCATTATCAACACGCAGCAGCATTTTTCATCGTTGGCATGGCGATCACAGGTCTGTACGAGTTCACTACGTAAGTGCGTTCGACCGCCACTCGAAGCCTCGTTTCAACGCTGCATGTTGCTGATGCGAGGGGTGGGTTTTCAGGTACTTTGACCAGATTCCGCGCGAGCTAGCGTATCCCCTTATTTGGGTGTTTATCTTTCTGCGCATGTTGGGCAAGTTGGGACCGTCCAAGTTGTCGCCTGAAGAGGAGTTAGCACAAAAGGAGCGGGAAGAGGCGCGGCATTTCAAGGCCACACTGAACCGTATTGCAAATGAAAAGGAAGATGAGGACGAGGATGACGTTTCCGACGCGCCTCAAGTCACCGCCGCGGCCGACGATCGCCAGGTCAAGAAAACCCAGTAATAAAAAGATGGGCCATACCAATACTATGCGGCGGCTGTGTTCGCCAAGAGCTCTGGCTCAACATAGGGACCGCCCGATTCGAGCTCTCGGGCGCCACCACGTTGGTAGCGACACAAACGACGATGCAATGTAATGCGCTTGCAAAATTACACCTCGAGTTTGGACTCGTTCTACAATCAGGCGGATGATCCACGCAGCCAGCCGAGGAAACCTCCGACGCCGGTGGACGACTTGTTTTCGACGCGAGCATGGACATCCGGCACTTCCATCTCCGTCAAAGCAATGTCAAACAAGAGGGGCTTCACCGGGATCGGGTGGGGCTGTGGCGGCAGCGTCACAAGATCGTAGTGGGTCGCGGGGTTGCCGCTCGAGTATTCGTTTTGCCGCTCCAACAAGCTTCTCGTGGTTGTTGCCCCGGCCGCTGGCGTGACCTGGAGCTGGCCAAGGCACACTCGGACAGCTTCCGTCGTGTTCGCGTCATGCAGAAACCCCAGCGCGTTCACGCGCGAATGGGCGCCCATTACTTGAGGCTCGAGTTCCGAGATGAACTGGCGCACCGTGGCGTCGTCACTTTCAAGCGACATGGCTTGCATCAAGTACGTCTTGGCTTGATCGTACAGCGCGGCGCTTTCGGGAAACTAGACGAGAGTTGCTCCATTGCAGCACCACCAAACATTGCTTTCGCTACCTTGTTCTGGCCCACGTACACCTGCGCGACGTAATTGCATCGAAACGCGTGGAACGTGCACTGCAGCGCCTGGTACGCTTTGAATGGGCCGTGGTCGGTCGTGCCAGGGATCGCCGCCATGTCGTCCACGTTTCGGATCAGCATGTCGAGAATGTGAATCAAATCGCCCGGGCCAACGCCGCCGCCACCCAGTCGAGACTTGAGCTGGGTGAACAGCACCACATTGCGGTCGATCTAGACCACGGAATGTCGCCAGGTGAGAGATCGAGCAAGCACGACGAAGATGGGAAGCGTGCACGTACAACGTGAGTTTGCTTGATGTACCGAACATACTCGTCCAACGCGGTCACATTCTCGCGGTGGGCATCGGCCATGAATCCACTCTTCATCGTGTCGGTCTTGATCTTTTCCGCCGCGAGGAGGCGCAAGATCATGTCGTAGCAGCTACAACCATCATGACAACCCATGAGCCGGGAGGGCCGTCAATGTGTGGACAAAAGGAGCAGCCGTCGACCAAAATGCACGACAGGATGCCAACGCACGCGGGAAACGATGCACATGCCGAAATCGGTGCGCCGTGATCGAGCAGCGCCACACTCGTTTCGGAAAACACACACACACACGTGTCCGAGAGAGATGGCCCACCGGCCTCAACAACCCTCCCCATCGAAACCACCCACGTACCCAAACAAATCGACGTAGATGGCATCGCGCTTCTTGTCGTTGTCCGTGCCTTTTTTCAACTTGGCCAAATGCTCTTCCGGCCGAACCAGTGCGACCGACACCTGCCGCAGGAGCACACGTGCGTCAACATGAGTCGAGATGTCCACACGTACATCGGAGTTGGGGATCGGAATCGCGCGGCCTCGCCACGTGATGGCCGCCATGTCCTTGGCCTTGGTCTTGGCTTCTTCGTGAAACACTTGGTCGATCTTGGACTGGAGAAGCGCACTCGTCGTGCTTTCTCGCAGCTCTTGCAGCGACAGCGACGACGACCCACCCAAGTTGTACTCGCAGTACCGCATGAATGGACTGATTTCATCGAGGATTTGATGCAACAAGTCCTGTTGCACGACCGTCCCGACTTTGGCCAACTAGGACCATGCTTAAGTCGCGATTGCCGGCACGACGCAGGCGGACGGTCACACAGCAGTACCTCCGAGTAGATGCGCTGCGCCGTGCTAAATTTCTCCAGCGCGACTTTCCACTCTTCCTTGTACAACGCGAGGTTGCCGCTCATGTACGACGCATACGCTTCCGCTTCGAGATTCGTGCGCACATCGGCGCGCTCAGCACATAGTGCGGTCAGCTTGTCGCTCCACGCCACCGCCTTCTTCAATCGGCCGAGCAAATGGAACTTGATGCGGCTGCTCGCTTCGTCACCATGCTCGTCCTTGTCGTTGCGTTCATCCTCGCGCAATTGCATTGCATAACTCCATGCACGTTCGGAATGGTACAAAGGCAACATCAAGTGGCGGACCTCCGACGCGATGTCGGGCGTCACTTCCTTTGGGACGAACTGCTTTCCCTTTCCGTGCACAAACTTGAGGCCCTTTCGAAGACGGCGCAAGCGACGCGCGCAATGCTGACGATACCGCGTGTAATCGCCGAAACGGAGCCCGTTTTGCTGCTGGCTAAACTTGATCGTTTCCAGAACTACCCGCATGAAAACGACAGATGTGAGTTCATATAGGTGCATGGGCACAAGCATGATGCAGAGATTTACTAGGCAATGAGAGCGGCTGGTCCAAAACGACAGCGTTCGCCGCCGCCACGGCAGTCTTCTTGTCCTTCTTCCCCATCCCTTGCTTGAGTTGACACCACTGGAATGAAGGGGACGGAGTCAAGAGTGACGTGAAATTTGCTTTGATTGGCTATAAAATAAATATTATCCATGAATTGTCCAACCCAGTGTTGGAATCGTTCGATTTCTCTAGATATCTCATAGTTTCATTGGCTATTCGTGCGAATTCCTCCATAATTTTGGCGAATCGGTAGTTTGAATCGCTCACCGTGAAATCTGACAACGTTGGAGACTTCAAATCAGGTGGAACTCGCGACGCGATGAAGCGGCGCCACGACGAAACGTGCGAAAAGTCCAAGGTACCAGCGCATGGAGATGAGAGGAAACAGCAGAAGCAAGTTAGGAATATGCAGAAGGGAAGCGGTGGCGATGAGCAACTACGCGTGGGGAACTTCAAAAAGTACGTGCACATCGTGCCGTGGCAGGGCCACGTCGACGATCTCAACAGCGCTTTGAAACTCATTCATGATCTGTCGCAGGTATTATGCATTTCGCTTGGGTGGCGCGATCGAAGGAAAGCTAGAAGAAGACTCTCGTCTGACCGCGTTCAAGAAGGAGTGGTTTGAAGGCAAGAAAGCGTTGGACATCGGGTGCAATTCCGGCGACATGACGTTGGAAATCGGTGCGTACCCGTTCACATGCACACTCGACAACGAACTAACTGTACGCATGTAGCTCGTCGATTTTCCCCTGCGTTCATCATGGGGATCGATGCCGACCCTGACTTGATCACCCAAGCCCGAGCGTCGTTGAAGGAGTACATTTCAAAGCTCACCGTCGCCGAAGCCTTCCGAGAAGTGACGGTACAGAAAACGCAGTCCTTTCTCGTTGTGTCAATGCCGATTTATCCGTTTTCGTATTAGAGAGAAGATCCGTCGTCGAACACCGTAGCGTCCAAGGACATAGATGCTGACGACGATGACCTACCGTTGTCCTTCCGCCTCTGGAAACCTCCCACTCACCATGCCTCCCATGACCCTTTGCCCAACATCGGCAGCTTTGCGTCAGGGTAAACTCCACTTTGGTCGTGTTTATTGCTGCCATTCCCGACGTGATCGTGCGCCGGTGGATTGCATCTGGCAGCTGCCCTCCTCACGTGAATGATCTTGTGGCAGGGTCCGTTTTCCGTACAACGTGGTGTTCAAGCGAGAAAACATCGTCCTCGACCGTCATAGTGGCAAAGACTACGATGTCATCACCTGGTCAGTTCATCCTCTGTCGTCGATGCATTCGCGGAATTGTTCATGTCGTGCGCTGCTCTTCCAGCTTGTCCGTGACCAAGTGGGTCCATCTCTTCCACGGCGACGACGGCCTCAAGCAACTGTTTCACCTTGTGTACGCGCTGCTCATGCCAGGCGGTCGGTTCATTCTGGAGCCGCAGGTGCTGCATCCCTTCCTCGCCATTGGCATGCTTGATGGCGACTTTTTGGGGTAGAAATGGAAGTCGTACTACAATCGAAAACACACCAACGCGACGACACTTGCCAACTACGACCGCATTGCACTGAGGCCCAAGGACTTCCAAGAGTATTTGTGCGCGACCGTCGGATTCACGTCCGTCGAGCTGCTCAAAGTATGCAGCACGTCCACGCATGGTTTCAAGCGGCCGATCTACCTCTACACCAAGTAGTAGTCCAGGACACGAAGCTCGACTCGTCCGCACTACTATAGCTTGAATGGAACGAACAAGAACGACGCGACCTACCTGCATGAGGATGACTGGTATTACTGGGATTACCTAGCGACGCATTGGGCCCTTCCGCATGTGCCCGCCTGCTTGACCACGCGGGCCGGACCCGAGACCTATATGTGCGCCTCCACCCAGCCCCAGTGCTGGTATCGACCCTCTATGCTTCTTCCACAGCTTCACTCGTTTGAAGAACGGTGCATGTTTCAGCATATCTGGGAGCACGATAAACACGATTTGTGACCCTCGGAGGTACACGTGTTCGCAATGGGTCGTGATGCCGCGGACGTCCGTCCGAATCGCGTCTTTGAGCAGGCAGTTCATGTTATCTTCCGTTTCGTCCAAGTATCCCCGGTAGAGATCGCCGTTCTTCATCTCGACCGTCACGATCGTGCCTTCCCCGTCATGCAAAAGGATCGTCGGTATGCCGACGCCGCGCTTCCCCGTGACTGCCATGCTTCGACCGAGCCGTGTGCTTCCGGGGATCAAGATTTTATGGCAGTGGACGGAGGGTACCGCGAACGTACTTAGTGGAGTCGACTTAAGAGGGCTTCGTTGAACCCCAAGAAATATTTCGATATTTCCGACCGAATCGATGCAAACTATTTTTATATATTCTTGGTTGTCATGTATGTATACAAATGAATAGTAAATACAACGCTACGGGATTATCAACCGCGCGTAGTCCGGAAGTTATCAAATCACCATGGAGAAGTACAGCCGCTGGTCCGACTTGACGACGGGAATCAACCCGTTTGTGCCTCCGCCGCATCAACTGCCGAAGAACGTGGTCCTGCGATGGACTCAACTCTTCCTTGGCGGCATTTTGTCACTGTGTCGATGGATCGTGCTCGTTCCGCTCCTGATGTTGCTTGTTGTCGTCACCTCCATCCACGCAGTGTTGGTACGTATTTTTTGGCAGCATGTTCCCACGGCTTGCATGACAAGACTCACGACAGGACTATGTGCCGATTCTCGGACGTATCTTCCATCGATGGACGGACTCGATTGTCTTGGGCCTGATCCTCATCGTCACGACGGTGTTCATCAAGGACGAGGCTGCAAACGCGAAACGTTTGGGGTTGCTGTACGTCACTGGATCCTTTCATGCTTTCCTGATGATCCTTTGCAGCGCCCCTGGCACGAAGCCGCCGACTCTGAGCGGCATCCAGGCCGGCGACGTCATCGTCACCAACCACACGTCCGTCTTCGACGTGCTGTACCTTGGATTCCGGTACTCTCCAACGTTTGTGTTCCCGTGTGCTTCGGACGCATCCAAGGTACAGGTTCACGCTTGGCTCATAAAAGTGATTGAACGAACGATGTAGGGTGTTGTGCAAAGCTTTGGGCTGCTGGGAGCGATCGCTCAAGCGCTTGCCCCTCCTTTGGCGACTGTCTCCAATGCACGTCCGCTTCGCATGCCCGTCTCCATGAGCAGCACCATTCACGCCACTGTTCATGTAGCCTCTCAAGCTCCAAGACGTCATTCGGCAAGCGTCTGGCCCCGTCGTCATCTTCCCCGAGGTACGTTCATCGCTCGTTTCGTCGTGGGTGATGATCTGTACAGGGAACTCGAAGCAATGGGAAAGCGGTGCTGTCGTTCCTTCCCGTCTTGGATGCATTACCGTCGTCGACTCGTATTCACCTCGTCGCCATTCGGTACCTCCATCCCTTTTGATGATTGCCATGGTCAGGCACGGTTTGCGCTATGCGTGCAGGTATGAGTACAAAGCCATTGCACCGACACACACGTGTGGCTCGGCCGTGTGGCACCTCTGCCGCCTCTTCTCGCACGTGTACCACACGATCAAGGTGACGACGTTGCCGTGTGAATTGGTCGCCAAGGGCTCGACGCCCCAGCAACTCCAGGCGCTCCTGGCGTCCATGCTCCGCACGAAGGGAGTTGAGCTGTCGTGCGACGACTTTATCTCGTTCAACGCGTACTGGGCGCATGTCAACCGCGGCGGACGCCAACCCGCGTCCGATTTCACGCCGCGGAAGGCGCCGCACGAACACGCACAATGGACGAGATCCGACAAGTAGATGTCGCGCGATAACTCGTCTTCCTTTCGACATGTCTAGTGGTATCGGTGCCGCTGGCAGTGGTGCCGTTCAACACACCACGTCGTGCCCATGCACGACCTGCATGTCCGACGTCGAAACACGCGGCGGCGGCGGGACACTACACAGAACGACGGGTCGCTGGCGAGTCCTGTCAGCCATCGGGAGGACGCCGTGTCGACGAAAATGCGAGTTGCGTCCGACGTCGCCAGAGCTAGCGAGCAGTCCTTGCCTGTGTTAGTCTGAGGCGATAGGCGACGTCGCTATCGACATGCTGGCACGTGGGGAAAGAAGATTTTGGCAGCCACGGCCGACGCGAACGAAGCGCGCGTGCTGTGTGCGGTGGGGATGGCCACCGCCGCGACGTGCCCCGCTCACTCGACATCCATGTAAACCTGACTTAATGCAGCTTCATCGCGAGCTCGTACGCGCTGATGGCGAGTTCGGCGGCAATCAAAATAATAATGTACCATTCCATGCGTGTGCCCTTGTGCGAGCTCAGCACTTCGAGGAAAAACTAGCCACACGCCGCCATCAGCATCGTCGTCGACGATGATGCGAATCACGTTACCTTGGTGTTGTGCTGGATGAGCTCGAGCTTAAAGTTGAGGTTGTTGAAGCGCTCGTTGAGCTCAAATTCTTCCAGCAGCGTCTCCCACATGTTATGGTACCGCGTGTGGCTCCATGCGGCGTCACCGGGCCGCTTGCGATCGATCACGCGCAGCTTGCTCACCAAGTCGATGAGGAGCGTGTTGTTGGTGGCGACGATTTGAAACAGCTTTCGGTGTTGTTCGCGCTCCGTCGACTGTGTTCCGAGAAACGTTAGGCCAAAGAGCGCCGTCTGGGGGCCTTTCTTCTCGACCAACGTGTTGAGTTTTTCAAACTCGGCGAGAATCGCGTCGACCTGGCGCTCGTAGTGCTCGAGTGCGACGGTTTGGGCGAGGACGCCCGCGATGACCTGGGCACGGTCAGCGCCGCGAACGGGACATGGAGGTGCACGCACCTGAATGTTGACGTGGTCGATCTCTTGGACTCGAATGTTGTTCTCCTTGAGCTCGCTCAGGTAGTTTGCAGCGGATCCGCGACCAGCAGCAGCTCTTCGTCGTGGCCACGGATATCGAATGCATCGCTGCAGTACTTCTTGGCGTGTTTGACCAGCGTTTCCGTGAGCGAATCGTCGCAGTTGAAAAACACGACCGCGCCGTAGTCAAAGTACACGACCCACTTGTCCTTGGCCCGGCGCGATGGTATCTCGGTCGGTGCGTCGAGAGACGGATTCGCCGACGGAGGGGTGAATGGCGCCATGGCTGGAAACGTCGATGGCTTCATGTTCAAGTTGAGGGTGGATACCCACGCGGCGTTGCGGTCGTCCGTCGCTGCGCTCAGCCGCAGCACGATCGAATCCTTGTACAGGTAATGGCTCACCTTGAACCGGTCCGTGTACAACCGCTGGAACAGTGACACAATGTCCATCTTTCGAGCGAGATGCACGGCGCGGATCGGCATGTGTTCGGGCTTGCGCTTCTTGCGCGCTTCTTCCTCGGCCATGGCGTGCGCAATCGCGGCCGACACGTCGTTCGTCGGCACGGCAGCCGCGGCAGGAATGTTTGGAACACTCGAGAAGAAGGACGTGCGCATATGCGGCGCATGTTGTCGAGTCGCCAACACCGTCCGCGACGCCAGCGACCATCCACGGCGCATCATGATGGTTGACGGGATGTGCACCTCAAACGATGTGTCAAATCAAATGGTGGACGACTGGGGGTGGGACAAAACCACTCGACGGGTAGGGGGTCCCATGAAAACGACGATGGACATTTGACAGTGTGAGGTTCATATTCGACTAGGCGGTCATGGCCACATGGCCTTGCGAGCAGTGCATCGGTGGCACCGCCCACCAACTCAACTCGACCCCAACGAACGCAGCACGCCCGCTGCATCTTGGAGCACAAGAGTCGCGCCAGCAACAACAAAGGAAACGAGTCCCATCGACGGCACGATGCCTGGTCGTGTGCACTCATAGCCAAGCCATGCACTCTCCCACGTCGACGTGATAACTGTGGAGCATAAATCTTGATTATTGCACGGGATCGACGACGTCTACTCTAGATGTGGTACAGCCTTTGCTCGTCGTCGCCGGCAAGCTTGAGGTTCTTGCGCACGAGCGCTGAAATTTGCAACGCCGTGGGCCGCTCGGCGGGGTCATATGCCAGGCATCGTTGCGCGAGTTCGGCGACCCACGGCGGGCACGACGGACCGATCGTCGGTCGAATCTCTTGGTGAATAACCATGCTCATGATGGCAGTGTCCACCAGCGCTTTCCCTACACCGCGCGAGGGTTGTGCAAACGCACAAACTGGGCTTCTTACCTCGTCCGTTCGTGAGGTCCACATACGGGATGTGGTGCGTCGTCAGCTCGGAAATGACCATCCCCAACGAGTAGATGTCAGCCGCCACCGTGTAGTAGTGCTCCTTGAGTACTTCTGGCGCCTGTAGGATTGGTCCATGAGCGGCCGTCGCGAGCAACGTCAACGCGTCGGCTTACCATCCACCGATACGTCCCGACACCGATCGTCATCGTCTCGCTCGATTCTTCACGCGCCGTGCCAAAGTCTGTCAGCTTGGTACCCTGCCACGACCATGTCAAGCGCAGAGTCCACGTGTCGAGGCCCACCTTGGTCGAATCCATCAGGATGTTTCGCGATTTCAAGTCGCGATGAATAATGTCCAACGAGTGCAGATACACCAGGCCTTCCACGATCGACAGAAGGCAGTCCACTTTCTTGAGCCATGGAAACGTCGGCGAACCGACTGCTGGCGACGGCGGCGTCGTGGTTTCCAGCACATGCTTCAAATCGCCGCGATCCATCCACTCGACGACCATTTCGAGCATTGCGGGCGTCACCCAGCTCGCGCCCACAGTCCGGACGATGTACGGGCTCTCCAATCTGTGTTGAACATAGCAACGTGACTCGGCGGGGACAACATCAAGCAGCGCGCACCTCGTCGCGAGCTTGATTTCTTCGATGAGAAAAAGCACGTCCTGCTTGTTGTTTTTGCCAGGCAGCAAACGCTTGATTGCGACCGTGTCCCCTGTCTCGATTGAGTGTTTCATGCCATTCGCCGTGTATACCTTTGTAGTTGCCAATCCAGACTTCGCCGTACGCGCCATGGGCAACGACTTTTGTCTTGACCAGCGCTTTCTCGTCCAGGCGGACAAGGGCCAAGTCCTGCGGGGGGTCGTCGTGAGGCAAGTTGTGTGGAGGCGGCCCCACCTACCTCCATGTTCAATGGGACGTCGCCCATGGTCGACTCGTTGTTGTTGGTCGTTGTGGCCTGCTTGTACGAGAAATCGTTGGTGGTCAAGCCCCTGGAGCCATGGTCACGTTTGAGCATCGACCGACGGGAGAGAGCATACTTGGACGGTTTGCGCTTGCGACGTTGGTGCACGCAGCACCACACAAACAGGCCGAGCACAACGCAACCCGCGGCAACACCTCCCACGATTGCCGCCATGTTCGACGACGCTTTGGTCGGCGTCGGCGGTGCCTCGGTGGTTTCCGTTGGCAGGAGCGGACCTACAGCATGGCCCGACGTGAGTTGGGAACGTTGCATGGATCGACGACACATCGAGAATCCGCACCAGACGACACACACACCGTGTAACCAGACTTGAGCGTCTTGGGTGTGTTTGGCGCCGCGCACGACCTCGACACGTCAATGCCGCCGACTTGAAAAATCGCCGCGTTGTCCAGGGCTTGAAATGTCACGGTGTCGACGAGAAACGTCGTAAAGTTGGACACGTCAAAGAACCTGTGCACACCCATGAGCATCGTCGCCATGCGAGATATATACGCACACTTTGACCAAGCGCCATGAAAACGATACGTTCTGGAGCGTCACGAGGGATGGAATGCCCGTGAACTTGACCTCGCTCGCACGACGAAAGTCAATGTTTTCGAGCGAGGTGAAATCGTTTTCCCAGCCAAAACTACGTGGACGGCGTGAGAACCAAGACGAGGACGACGACTGGCGGCGCACGTACAATCCCGTGAGTTGCCCATAAGGAATCGTCGTGGGGAGCTCCTTGAGCGCATTGCGCGCCACCGATCTACGACAAGATCGTGTCAGGCGAGTCGGTCTGTGCGCGCCGTACAAGCGAGACAAGCCCTTTGGGAAGACAGCGTCGGCATACGATATGCCTGGATTGTTTTCGAAATCTCTATTCGGCACGCACACACCCACGCATGAGGTATGGGACGACGACGATGGCACGACATGGAGCGTACAAGAGCGTCACATTCGAAGCAGACAAGTTGCCCACCGACTTGACCCCCGGTCCGTAGAATTGACTACCAGAGAGGATGAGACATGCCGGTAGAATGGCGATGGCGGATACACATAAGTGTTCCAGATCGACGGCAAGCTCGCGACGTGCTCGGCAATGCGCTTCACGATGAATACGTCCGTGAGGGTCGAGTCCTTGGTCACGTTCTCCCTGGTGTAAGACGTGTTTGGGATTTCCTACGGCCGTCACGGCGTCAGTAGATGGAGGTCCGGGGTCGCTGTGGGGCACCTTGCATTGACTGTCCACGATGCACAGAATCGCGCCGGGCTGCTTGCAGTAGATCGGGTCGGCCGTGTACGTGGTTGCGTACTTGGAATACGGGCAAGTGGCGGCTGTCTGGCCCAGCGCGCGCACGCTCAGAGAGGTCAAGATCTACACATGCATTCAGTTGTCGATGGTGGCACGGAGGACGTGCTCACCGCCAGTCGCAGAAACATCGTGACGAATGCCTTCTTGGTCGGAAGTGGCATTGTGCGACGTCGGCAGTCGTGAAACCGTGTGACGGGAAATGTCGCGTTCAATGTCGCATGGCAGGTTAAATCTACAACGTCTCGGTTAAACCTCCCTAGCGCCGACTCCGATGTCGTTAAATTCCATGATTGGTCTGACTTCACATGCGATCGTGTTTAAACCAGACGCTACAGTGTATTCCACTGAACATTCACAGGTGCACTCCTTGGTCCGACAAAGTTCATTAAATTTCGCGTCGCAAGCGGGCGACCTGAGATCGACCGCCTCGGTCGTCGCGCTGCCGACGGCGGGCCGCGGACAACAAACAAACGAATGACCAAGAAGCTGTTTCAAGGCACACGTACGTGTACACCCACGAGTAGGTTGGCCTAGGTTATGTGCCTGGTGCCCACCCCAGAGCGGGCTGCCTTCGACGGAAGTGACCGATCCGTGCGCGCAACAGCCGCAGCATGGTTAGATCGACGGTACTTGGCGGAAATGTGCGAAGCGGCTGTGGATGGATAGCAGCATTTCGATCGGCGCCGCGATACACCGCAGTCGAGTCCCACGACAACGTTGCTACTTCACACAGACGAAGGCTTGCTGTATGGTACATGCTGAAAAGCGATCGTGGTGTCACGGCGCGGATGATGGACCAACGTCTTGGTCGATTCATATCGTGCGAGCATGGCAACAACGAAGCAAGAGTGGATGCAAGTGTCGTAAGACAATACGTAGACACAGTCGACGATTGTGCTAAAAATGATGGAATAAAACTAATCCAAAACCTGTAAAAATGAATACACACGCGAAAAACCGTCATAACACATAATGGTTGACTTGAACAAAGTATTCGAAGCCTCCATTCAACAACAGTGTGCGAAATGAAAGACATGCCCCCCATGACGGCGTCATATCAGCAAGACAACACCGATGGCCGTGTGATGCCTCTACACCAACTCAATTTCCAGTACTGGTCCAGCGTTGACAGGTGTAGTCCAAGTCTAAAACATAAAAGTGGATTCAAACGGGGACAACATCACCTCAAGCATAGACCAAAGAAACGTGCCTTCGAACCACGATCGGGCATGAAAATGGCGGTGTCGCATGCACATGTTGCCATTCGAACCATGCTATGGCTACGATTATTATTTAATAGCGACGTGGCGCTACGGAGGAAATGCAAACGCGCATTGTCCATGCGGAACAAGCCTCGGAGAAACACGTCGTCTCAAACGTTGCAGTCGAATTATCTGCACATGGTGCAGCGAATATATGGTCAAAATAACGAGGTGGACAGCGTTATAGACTTTTTCAGCCGTAACTCCTGTAACTGTCGGTAAAAACGGCGCAGTCCATCGACACGGACGCCGCGTGGGATGGACTGCCGCCGTCAGTCGAGTCGACTGAGTATGCACTCAATTGCATCCGGTGCAGCCACGACCGTATGGATTGAAAACCCCGTGAGCCCAACCACGACCACTGTCGCGCCATTGTTCGTGAAAGCCCGCGTTGTGCCAAACGTACACGACGTTCTACCTGCCACCACCGTGCATGTTCAAGGGGCTGTGGATGGCACACCGTTCGCGCTTCATCTCCCCGCGGATCGAGTGTGGCCTGCAGATGCGCGAGATGGCGTGGTCGATGACTTGGTCGACCTCACCCACGTCAACAACGCAAACATCTTGGACGCGCTGCACGTTCGTTTCGACGCAAATCAAACGTTCACGCACGTCGATAATGTCCTGTTTGCGATGAACCCGTGGACAGATCCGACGGAAAGGTACCTCCGCGTTGATGGAGAGACTTGCTCGGTACCGACGGCACTCCATGCGCAAGCGAACAAGCCCCTCGTGGCAATGCTAACAGACGCGTTGGCCAAGATGAACCATGGGGGTGCGGGAGGAAATGGCCACCATCACAGCATCTTAATGATGGGGAACAGCGGCTCCGGCAAGTCGTACACGGCCAATACTCTATTGCAAGTGGGTTCGATATCCTGGACTAGGATGTGGCAATGACCGGAATTGTGTGCAGGCGCTGATGGAAGCATCTCTGAACAAGCGACACGGAAGGCTCACCGAGGACGGAGTGAAGGGTGTGGATGCGAGAGCGGTGGCCGTGGAGACAAAGCTCTTGGCTGCCATGACCGTCCTGGATGCATTTGGCAACGCACGTGTACGCCGCTGTGTGTCCCGGCGTCCCGCAAACAATGCGTGTTTACCGTAGACTCGCGGCAACCCCAACTCGTCGAGGTTTGGACGGGTGGTCACAGTGCAATTGAACGCGCAAGACGTCGTCGTGTCCGCGTCGGTGCAATGCTTTCAACTCGAATCCAGCGACGGCGATCCTGTCGGTCGAGTGTCTGGCATCGGTCAAAGACTCATCGTTTGGTCCATGTAGTCATGCGGCTCGCTTGGCATCGCCCACCGCGGACGTTATCACATTCTCGAGTTGCTGAAGCAGGTCCCACCACGCCCTGGTCGTCCTGACGGACAAGATCCTGCACCCACCTTGGATGCAATCCATCGTGTCGGCCATATCAAGGTGAATTCGTTCGTGGCTCCGTCTTGGGCGTCACGGCAGTGCGCAGGACGCGATGACGGCCGCGGGTGTGCCTCCCCGCACCATGGAGTCCATTCTCAAGGTCGCACACGCCGTGGCGATGCTGCTGCCATCGCCGCAAGCTACAGGGGCACCGGATGGCCGAGATGAAGATGCGTACGTTCGCCACGGCTCGCTTGACCATGTTTGCTTGGCTTTTGAGCTCACGGTCGACCGGGGCATAGGCTCCATCGCGCCGACGAAATTCTCGGTGTGCGAGCTGGAACATTGCACGACGCCATGAAAGCAAAGGAGCTCTCGATCGCGCAGGTGGGCCGCGTGCTGTACCGAACGGCGCTACGATACGTGTTGGCGGCGATCAACGGGGCGCTGGATCCATGCAGCGGCCGTCCGAGCACCAAGATCCTCGACATTGTCGACATGCCTGGCTTCGAGTCGCTTGCCCAGGCCAATGTCTTCGAGACGTTCTGCATCAACTACGCAGACGAGAAGCTTCGCCAGTTCTTTATCCAGGTGCTGGCCATCCGCCCTGGAACACTGCATGTCGGATGCGCCCCTGTAGTACATGTTCAAGCTCGAGCTACGCATATACGCGACGGAAGCGCTCGCGGCGGTGCCCCACTTGCCGTTCCAAGACAACCAGGTGCGATCGTGTCGACCGTGTGCACATTTGATTCACGCGGCGACGGATAGCACGTTGTCGAGTTGCTCGATGCAAAGGCGGGAGGCATCCTGCACATGCTGGAAACAACGTCGACGGGACTCGACCGCGATGGAGCGACGTTTGCCGAGGTATCGCGATGTGGACGACGGAAGAAGTCCCAATTGTGGTCGATCGCAGGCCGTCGCGAACCGGTATCACACCCACGCCAGCTTTCAAGCCGATGATGCGCGCCACTGCTTTGCTATCCACCACTCGACCGAGACCGTCATGTACACCGCGTCGGACTTTGTGCGTGTCAAAGCTGACGTGGATGCCGCCTTGATGCGACCGCTGCGGGCGTCGATGGACCCTGGGATCGCCGCGATGTTTGGCCACGTAGGTTCCAGTCATGCGTATTTGTCGTGCGACGACATATTGGGTCTAGAGCGCTGCCGCACCACCCCAGACGCCGTCGCCGCAAGTACACCAGTCGACGCTTCTCGTTTGCATGACACGCGCGTCGTAGCTGCAGTCGGGACGCAATGTGGAAATGGACCACCTGCTGCTCTCGCTGTGCAAGTCCGAGCCACACTTTATTCAGTGCATCAAGGTGGGTGGCGGCCATGTGCGGTCCACAACGAGCCGCCTCACACGCGTCTCGATGGCGTCGTTAGAGCAATGCGGCAATGCAGCCCTGCGTGTTCGACGATAGTGTCGTCCTGCAGCAACTCAAGCGACTAGGTATCGATCCTGACTGGTTTTGCCGATACTTGGTGAAAAACGCGCCGACGGTGGACAGATGTGACGAGCACGCTGCTGCTGCGCAAGCACGGATTCACCCACCGCGCGACATTCGCCGACTTTCTCGACCAGTACAAGTGCATTGAGGCGTACACAAGCCCGCGATTGATGGCGACGGTGCACCTCTCAAGCTCTTTTGGCATCGTCCGATGCGAGGGGCTGTGTAGGAGCGATCGTTGACACCGAAGCGGCGCTGCGACTTGTTTCTCAACCGACTGTGGGTCCATCCCGCCCTCGTTCACGTGCATGTAAGGGCAGCAACGTTGTTGGAAGTGGGGACGTCATGTCGTCGAGTAGAAGGCGGACGCGATGCAGCTCGGCCTGCGCTTTATCTTTTTCAAGCGCGACGCCATCGACGCCATCGACGCGATTCGCGCGCAGACACTGAAGGAGCTCGACACCCATGTCGGTCGCATCCAAGTACGTTGAGCTGCGAGCGACACGGACTCAGAGATGCCAGTCGGGATGGGCTGACTTGCCGCCGTAGAAACGATGGCACCGCGCAAGGACTCAAGCGAGGATGGCCAACCTGGCCGACCATGCTCGAATCATTCAACGACAGTGGACGCGCCATGTCAAGCATGTCGTCCATCGCAAGCAGTGCCGTGCGGCCACGGTGATTCAAACTGCGTTCCGTGGTTGGCGCATTCGACCGCAGGACGCGCGCTTATTTCGCCGCGACCGCACGCACCTTGAATCCTCCATTCGGCATCGTTTGCATGCGCGAAACGATGTAGTCTTGACGCGACGAGTGAGTCGACTCCAAGCAGTTGTCCGTCGCTATCTCGCCCGTCGCCGCGCGAGTCGGCAGGAAGGCATAGCAAGGGCCATTCAGGTAATAGAGCACCCCTCTCCCCTCGTACGCATCACCTTTACAAACGTGTGCTCAAATGGCAGCGTGGTGGGCTTGCGCTGCAGCTCCAGAGCCAGGTGGCAGCCGCGCGGCACGCGGCAGCTCAAAAATTACAATCCATCTTTCGAGGAGCCAAGATCCGCGCGGAACTCGGCACAGTGCTCCATATTCTTGCGCTGAAGCGATCGATTCGCTTGGAATTTGCCGCAGCCACGATGATACAAGCATGGGTGCGCACTCGTTCGTGCCAACGTCGATACAACGCCATCCTCCGAGCATCGTCTTTGCTACAGGTAGCCGTCTCCATGGACGCCCCAAGACAATCTGTTCATGACGGCACAGGCTTGGATGCGCCACATGCACGTTCGCATCCGAACCCGTCAAGCGGCGGCCGCGGCGGGAAGCATTCAAGCCGCCGCCAGGGGCTTCCTCGTGCGCCACGAGGTCCGATTCCTTGCTCGTCGTCATTGTTTCATTCCATGGCAACGAGATCGATCGATCGACGCCGTTGGCGACAGGTTTCCATGAGCTCATCTGGACGGGTGTAGGCATCGGAGGATGCGCTGCAGCACATCTTGGGAAATTTGGAGCAAGCCACCGCCGTCGAGATGGGGCTCGAGCTTGTCGAGATGGTCCAGCACAACCGCCGCGTCATAGATCTCCGCCCCCCACCTCGAGTTGTGGACGGAAGCACGTTGAGTCGCTGACACGTTTGATGCACAGGCGTCGCGGCACACGATTTTGGCCCTCCACACCAGGCCTGGCGACGCCAAGCGGCACCGCCACTCGACATGGAGCGCGCAATTTTCCGCCTTGCAGGTACTCGACGTCCTCCCGAGAATATGCTCGGTTCATCCAGCCCCGCGGCGGGAGCAGGACATGCTAGTGGAACGAGGTCGAACGCTGGCGGCATTTGACATTGGCGAGTCGCACGCCGCCGCCTTGACAGACCTCGGCCACGTATACACGTACGGCTGGAACGACAGGGGGCAGCTGGGCACGCGGACGGTCGACTCCAAGCCCCGGTTTCACCCAAAGGGAATTCCGCCGAGTTTTTTTCACGTACAGGCCGCGTCGAGTCGGCTGGCGCTCTCATGCGTGAGTAGAATGCCGTGATTGCCGCCATCGCGACGGGCGAAGACCATACCGTCGCGCTGACGGACGCCGGCATTGTGTACACGTGGGGCGGCAACCGGTTTGGCCAACTCGGTCTGGGTCATTTTCAAACGTGCCACGCGCCGCAGCGCGTCACAAACGCTGTGGGGGTGATGGGACCTCATCTCCGCAAAGCCATCGCGATCGCCACGGGTTCGTATCACTCGCTTGCCCTCGTCGAAACCGGGTCCATCATGGCGTGGGGCGCCACAACGCCGGTGCGGCGACGCCACTGACCACGTGTCGTTGAATTGCCACGCACCATGTCATCTGCGTAGGACGAGGCGATGTCGACGCAGACAGCTCTTCCAAAGCTCTTGAAAGCAGATCCGCCCGCCAAGTTTACGGCGCTTGCATGTGGGACGTCGTTCTCGGTAGCAGTTTGCGAAAGGTAGGCTCGGTCTGCATGGCTCTCTCGATAGCCACATCACGGACGGAACGGCGTAGCGGGAGGCTGTACTCGTGGGGCGACGACTGGGGTTCCGTGGGAGCGTTGGGGCTGGGGGACGCGGTCAGCCATCGACGCGTCCCTACTCGTATTCCCATCGGGGTCGTCGACGGCAGCGGCCCGCGCTCCACCTTGCCGACGTTTCGACTCGTGCGATGCGGCGCGTATCACGCGGCGGCCGTCACGTCCTGTGGCAGTCGGGTGTATGTGTGGGGTTGCAACTCGGTTGGCCAAGTACGACAAGTCCCTTTCGATCTCGTCGCGACCATGCCACGCATGATCGATGGCTAGTTGGGCGTCCGTGACAAGCGAAATCGGTCGAGCCCCGTGCGTTTGCGCGCCATGGAGTCCCTTGGCGGCGTGCTACAAGTGGAATTGGGGGCGAACAGCACGACTGTCGCGGTTGCGACGACGAAGTCCCGCCTTGCCGTGTACGCGTGGGGCGTTGTGGGCCATGTGTGCCCGTTTGTGAACGACACGTTCGACTCGCCCCCAACGGAGCAGCCGCGCCGGACAGCGGATGGCAGAATCGTCTTGATGGAAGGCCATACCGTGTCGAGCGATCCAACGGTGAACACGCTTCCTTCCTATCGCATGCCGTTTCAACGACGACCAGGTGTCGTGCGCATGGTCCACGCGGACAAGTGTGCATTGGACTACGTTCGCGCCCGGGAAAACGTATCGCACGAAGTCGAGAACGGACGGGGTGGCACCCATCGTCACGCCGACGCTCCTCGACAAGATGCGGTAAGTGATGCGATGGCGCTTGCCACTGGAAAGAGAAATATGGAGCGGGTTACCGCTATCTGGACAGGTCTGAGCTCGATGGAGTCGACGTGCAGTCCGCTAGTGCTAGCAGGACGGCTGTCACCGACGACAGAGTATGCGCATGATCCATGCTTTTCCCAGCTATGGCGGTACAAGCTAACGTAATTGTTGTAGGCGGTCGAGGATCGAGTCCCCGAGCCAACACCGGGTGGCAAGCTAGCCCATACACCGTCGCCGGTAAAACGTGCCGCGTCCCAAGCGAAGCGCCCATCAGCCGCACGGACAGGTGCCTCAAGGTGGTATCGGTTCTCTCCACTAACGCACAACGCAGCCGAGGATATAAAGCCCAGAAGCACACGCAACCCCCTCCCGCGGCCAAAGTACTTTTCCAAGGTCTAGATAGACCCCCCGATATACATGCCACAACATCCATGCAGCAGCATGCGTGAGCGTCCGCGCGGCGACTCGGATTCCTCCAGGGAGTTGCGAAACGTGCAAAAATAAATTGCCCAATCAAATCGACGGAAGGTCAATCCAACGACCAATCCGATCGCAGAACGGCACGAATGTATTTTTGGTATGACGGTGGCGGCAGCGGCCGAGTCCTTGTCGATCACTTCCGATTTCTCACGCCGCGATCGCCGTGCTGAGGTTGCTGCGCGATGAGCATGTCTACTGCAGCGCCACCAGCGTCCCCTTCAAAGACGTCGATTGCTGCGCGCATCAACAACGTGAAAACGATGGAGCTGCCCAAGGTGCTGCGGCTCATGCGGGTGTGCAACGTCGGGTGCTCGCTGCTCCAAGTCATTGCCGGCATCACGGGGCTCATTAGCATTGTCACGCTCAACGTGACGGGTGGCCTCGTGTCCGTGTACGTGATCACGTTTGGCCTGCTCTTCCTCTTGTTCGAGTGTCGGTTGAGCAGCATGGAGACACGCATCCGTCGCAACTTTGGCTTTTTGTACTCGTACAAGGGCCGCGCCGCGTTCATTTTCTTCATTGGATTCCTTGACTTTGGCATGAACACGACCCTTGGCACGGTCGCGGGAGTCTTCATGTGCTGCAACGCGTTGTTGAACCTGTTCATCATGTGCCAACATCCCGAGTTCAAGTCGGGGCACATCAGTGCCAGTGCCGACCCCACGTCGGGATATACCACGGGCAACCAAGAGGCCGCAGCGTACCTCAACGCGAACCCCCACGTGGCCATGCAAGCCGGCACGTTTGCGCTGTCGTCCGTGACGACGAAGACCTAGTACCGACATCCCGAGCTCATGCCAGGACGCAATACGTGTAGCTGGCGTACTTAGCGCCGCAGGATATATATATACCACTCATCCATCTTCACTAGCCGTGCCTCGCTGAGCATTCCACATCCGTCGCAGCAGCCGCTCGCGGCATTCCTCGCCTCCCGACACAATATCAATCCAGCATGTCCGTATACGGTGTCTCGTTATCCGGATACCCGCGGAAGCACTTCCCGAAGGCTGGTCGAATTGGCCGCTCGTTCCGGTCGGCCGATCTTGCCGCGCAAGGATGGAGCCGCCGCCTCAAGAAGATGCTGGTGAGAGCGAACCACTGCTCAAGTACGAACGTGTGGGGGGGCACTTCCATACGCTGCTGCGCGACGACGCACTGAGCTGCATTGCCGGCCACATGAACTTCATCTGTGTGGGAACGTTCTCGGGGCATGTGCTGTTGCTCGAGCTCAACGGACGGTACATCCGGCGCCTGCACCAGCACCACAAGCGCGTGCACGAGATCTGCATTGACGAATCGGGGCAGCACATCGTGTCATGCTCGGACGACGGCACGGTCGCAGTGTACGCGCTGCTGCCCATGTCGACGGAGCAGGACGCATCCCGCGTCGTGATCCCGACTTCCGGCGGGGAAGTCAACATTTACAACTTTTACAACGCAGTGTACTCGGCGCAGCTCGAGCACGGATACGCGACCAAGCGTGAGCGCAGCTTTGCGTGCGGCGGCATCTCGGGGCAGCTTGTCGTGAACAAGAAAGGGTGGATCATCGACAAGGAGAACACAATTCACGAGGGCGAGGGCCCTGTGCACTGCATCCGGTACCACGAAAACCTGCTCGCATGGGTCAACGACTGGGGCGTCAAGATATACAACATCGAGACGGACACGAGGGTGACGTACATCGAGCGGCCACAAAACTGTCCGCCGCTCGAGCTCTGCCGTGCGCACTTGGTGTGGCACACGCTGTCGTCGGGCGATTTGGTGCTGCTCGTGGGATGGGGTCACACGCTGCGTGTGGTGCGAATCAAGCCGGACCACGACGCGGATCGCAGCCAAGGCAAAGCGCAGCAGCCACCGGCGACCTTGTTTGGCGCTGCGCTGACGGCGGAAGTGATTTCGTTCATCACGTTTGACTTTTTCGTGGCGGGGGTCGCGCCGTGGGGAGATCACGCAGTGTGCATCTTGGCGTATCGCGCGCCGGGGTCGTCGGCGGGTCCGACGGAAGGCCCCCGGCAAGGCCAAAAAGAGTCTGGCGAAGGCGTTGTTGAGACGACGCCGTGTCCCGAGATGCACGTGTTGGACTGGCAAGGCAACCAGCTCGCCGTCGACATGCTCCAACTGCGGGGATTTGACAAGCTCCGCGCGTCCGACTACCACGTCGAGAGCCTTCACCAAGCCATCCACCACACCAGCCCGGTCCTGTATCTGTGCACACCAAAGGACGTGGTCGTATGCCGGGCCCGCGACATCGACGACCGCGTCGCGTATGCGTTGTCGAATCGGGCGTACGAGAAGGCGCTCGACATTGCGCTCACGGACGTGTACGCGCTCAAGCGGCATGCGCTGGACGAGCTGGTCGAGTATTACTTGGGCGAGCTCATTCGGAGCAAGCAGTTTGGCGCGGCCGCCGACGTGTGCCGGCAGCACCTGTCGCCGCACCTGTGGGAAAAGTACGTGTACGTGTTTGCGCAAAAGGGTCAGCTGTCGGCGATCGCCAAGTACATGCCGACATCCAACCCTCGGCTGCCGACGAGCCAGTACGAGATGGTGCTCCAACACTTTTTGGACACGGACCCGGCGCAATTGCTGTGCATCATTCGAAAGTGGCCGAAACCACGCATGACGGACCGCCCCGCGACAACGACCGGCGCACGTGTGTCGGCCGAGTATACCAAGACCGCGTCGGTCTTCGATCCACTGTACGACGCGGCCGCATGGATTGTCCAACTCGAGGTACTTCGGTCGTCCAACATGCGTCGAGGGATGGCAGGTGACAAGACGATGGGGGCGTGCGTAGACAGTCGTGCGCCGTCGCCGCGTTGCCGAGACCGACGTCGACCGCATGTCCATGGAGACGTCGTACGTGATGGAAGCGCTCGCGGAACTGTACACGGCGACCGACCAGTTTGACCATGCGCTGCGCATCTACTTGAGCCAGGTACGTCGTCGTCGGCGTCCGTGTGTGGGTGTCACTCGCGGCAGGGCTCGCTGTGCACCAACAAAGACCATGCGTTCAAGCTCATTGTCGAGCATAATCTGTGGGACGCGATTCGCAACAAGGTGCGAAGTGTGGATGACCGTTGGGACGGGCATCGATTTGTTGTAGGTGGTGAATTTGATGCACATCGATCGCGACGCGGCGCTGCGCATGCTCGTGCACCAAGTCCAATCGGACCAGCTCAACGTGCATGCGATCGTCGACCAGTTGGAGCACAAGCGAGATCTCCTCCACGAGTACGTCATGACGCGTGCTCGAAACTCGCGCGGACGGTGTCGGAAATGCGCGCAGGATGGACTCATGGCCGTGCGCTGGTGTAGGTACCTCCACAACCTGTTTGTGCACCGGTTCGCCGACTACAATGTCGAAGCGTATGCGTCATTGCACGAGCGCCAGGTCGTCGATTTGGCCACGTTCATCTCTCACGCGTGGTGGGTGGCAGATATCGCTGTACGCCGAGTTTGCGCCGTCGCTGTTGGTGCCATTCCTGCAAACGAGTGCATTTGTCCCGTTGGAGAAGGTGGTAGCGCTCTGTCGCCGTGCACGTGCACAGAATGAACGGCAAGCGGTCGTGGCGTAGGCGTATCAGTTTTGCAGCGAGCGGTCGCCGCCCCTGTGGGACGCGATGATTTTCATCTTGGGGCGCATGGGACACCAAAAGAAAGCGCTCGACTTCATCCTGACCCAGCTTCGGGACGTCCACCACGCGATTCAGTTTGTCCAGGTGCGTGCCGACCGGACGTGTCGTTCGACTTAAATGGCGGCGCCGCCATCGTAGGAACACGGCGACGACCTGTGGGAGTACTTGGTCGAGATCAGCCTCACGAACCGAGGGTACATGGAGCAGCTCCTCGAGTACGCGAGCGACCACCAAATCGACCCGATCAAGATCGTGCGCAAGGTATACATGGCGCCGTCGCGCGAAACATCTCGACGCTGACCTGCCGATAGATTCCACCCGACATGGAGATTGCTGGCCTCAAGGCCAAAGTCCAGCAGATCATTGCCAACTACAGAATCCAGGTGCGACCGATGATGGAACGAACAATCGAACGCAATGCACTCACGGCCGCATGGCAGCTGAGTCTGTGCCACGGCTGCACAAAAGCGTTCGAGGCCGACCGCGTCGATTTGCTCGCGCGGTTGGTGACCCACCGCCGGAAAGCGCGCCGCGTGAGTTCGCACGTGGCGTGCGGGATTTGCTTTGGCCCCATGAAGCCGATGGCGGTACGACGCCATGTTTCTTTCGTGGGGTCGGTGGATTCATGGGTGGCAGAACAAGGCATCGCACCACTTTTGCGTGTTCGAGTGCGGCCACGTGTATCACATGGCGTGCCTGGAAGAGAAGAGCATGCTGTGGAAGCAACAGCACGCGCCGGACGCGATCGAACTCGTGTGCTTTCAATGCGACAACTCCAAGCTGCGGGTTGGACGGCCCAGTGTGCCCGCTCTAGCCGCTCCAAAGGGCCTCACCGACCAGCAGCTCGAGCTTGCTCGGCAAACAATTGCGCAAGGCTAATAAAGATTACCACGACTTTTGCTACCTGGGTTCAACGGAGCCGCCGGCGGGAGAACGTTGGCAGATGACAGGATGGAGCTATAATGCAATGGAGTGGATATTATCGCGTTGTTTAGAACTTGACTTCCTTCAACCCCCACTTGATGAACATAAACACGGGAGTGGTTGCACCGTCCTTGTAGTACGAGTACGCCATGCCGGCTTCCGAGTCCATCGAGCGGAACATGTAGTATTGGAGATCGTCGTACATGCCAACCAGTGCCTTGACAATTTCTTGCGCGTCGCTTTTGAATTGGTCCAACGTTTCGTCGCTGGCGTTGGTCGCCTTCAAGTGCTTGATGATCTTGCGGAAGTACGACTTCAAGTACGTCTTGAGGTCGGCCTTTGAGTTGAAACCGGTTTCCGTGTAGCCAAACCCGACGGATTCGTCGATAATGTTGTTCACCGTTTCGACAGAGTCGTCGACGTCTTGGTCGCCACCGCCAAACGCGTCACCGCACCCAACATCCACGTTCAAGCCACCCTTGGTGACCGTCTTACTGGCCACTTCAATCATACCAGGGATCAAGTTGCCTTCCTTGTCCTTCGCTTCATACACGTTGTGCGAGTCCGACACAACTTCGTCTTCGGTGAAAATGTCTTGCCAGACCAACATGGTTCACAACGAGGAAATTTGAAAATGCCGACAACCGAACGAGTGGTGGGAAGGTATTCGGATAGTCCGGATAAAACCTCTGGGAGTTTGTATGATACTTCCAAATATGATC